CTGGTATTTGCTCCCAAGTTATTGACCTGTGATGAACAAATAAGGCTAAGACAACTGGATATTTAAATGCAATATAATGAAATAACAAAAATCTGCTACAAAGGGCGTGAGACATTATCATCTCCTGAAGACTTAATCATTAGTCATAATAATAATGGTAGCAACAATGAAAAACCCAAAAAAATTGTTTATGATTTCTTCACTCTTTCTCTTACTCGGCTAGCCAAGTATGAAGACAGCTGGTCTACCTGACTGCTCTCTATCAGTGTACATATTCCTCGCATTGGTTTTGTAGTTGTGCATTTCTCCATGTAAAGGAACAGAATTGAAATATGTCCTATAAAAAGATTTTTTCCTATAGCCAATCTTCAAATTATTAATATGACACTCTGAAACCATTTTTCAACCCTTTTCCATCCTCTCTCCAATATCCTTGTATTGGACTGCTTTGGGGAAAGTAGAAACAGATGACAACTGTGAATTTCCAAAATAATCCCCGTTAATTTCTCCACTGTTTACCAGTGGGAATGAACTTGGAACCCTGAAATTGTCCATCCATTAATGTAGGATCTTGCCATTTGAATGTTCAACTGGAAATGATGATAATTTTTGTCATGAAACATCTGATTTCATATCTTGTAAACCAAAAACTGGAACAGTCCCCCAGTGAAATCTCCTAAATGACAGTGAGAATTATTTTATATTATTTCAATATGCAGCATCAATCATAATGCTGGAATCTATTTCATCACAGTATGTGTGTGTTTGGTATGTTATGAACCTAAGACTTAAAGTTGTCTAATTCAACATTTAGTAATACCTCTGAGTGAGTTTTAGATTATTAGTTATATTTTATGAAAAATTTTAAAGCAAACCTTTTTATCATTAAAGAATTTTTAAACCAATAAGCAAATAAACCTGAGCATCACTTTGATGCATTTTTGAGTTTTAATTTTTTGGCTTTTCTCCATGACTGGCACGCTTTCTTTTAGGGGATGTGACCGGAGAATAAATGGGCATGCACAGTTCAGATTTAGTTTTTTATTTTTTGTGATCTGGTAGACATATATTAGATATTGCTACCAGTAAGAATATGGATGCCCTCCTGGCAAAACAGAAATAATAAAGCACAACTCCTTTCAATTCTGTTACCAAACTATTTCCAGTTTTGAGGGGGGAAAAGCAAACCCAGATTCAGAACGTAAATATATGATATTGCTGTCTATAAGAATGGAGCTATAGGAAGGCAGTTCTTTTCAGGACATGTAACTTCGGGGCTACTGGTACAAACTGAGAAACTTCTGGGTAAATACAATCTCTAGAACTTATAACAGTTTTTATCTTGCTACTGTTGTTTGCGGCAGCATACCATGAGGGTCTTCTTTTCCTGTCTCTTACCAAATTCATATCCCTCAAGTATCTCTCACAATGAAGGAAAGTGAAAATACAATTTTTTATGCTTTTCAAATAGCCTCTTGAAAGTTTTCTAACTTTTGAAAAAGTCCACCTTCTCCCCTACTGAAAGTTTTGAGGTATTAATTTCCCTACTCAAATGTCTCAAACCACACCTTCCTTGGTATCTACAAGTCTGTTCTGGAAGGGGATCTTGGGTTATACTTATTTATTTAAAAAGTCTTGTCATTTTGATATGTTAAGGAAACCAGTGTGGTTGTTCCCAGTTTCTGGCTGGGAAGCACTTTCCTCTTTGCTTCGTATAAAACAGTTCTTTTAAATGCCTGTCTTGCTTTTTCTCCCCCATGATGCTGGCAACATTAATTGCTACTTACAGAAAGAAGACACAAAAATGAATGGTCTATTAATGAAACCTACCTAAAGAGGTTCAAATTGAGGTATGGATTACATTCTGATGGTCAAAGGCGTACTCTGTAAGTTAAGGATTGTATAGTAACCCAGACCTTAATCTTCAGACACTCCAAAGTCTTTAGAAAATAAGCCTTATTTCTGAGTGTGTGATCTGCCTCAATTAGGAAGGGAGCTGTGGGAGAGGAGTAGATACAGACTCCAGATAGCCTGATTTGAAGGAGGCTTGCCTGTTAGTATAAAGGCCAGGGGCAGCTAAGCAGGTACAAACACAGCTGGTGATCCAGACCTTCCAGGGACACACAGACTATTAGCCTGTGCATTTTCTATAAAAGTGCTTTGTGTTTTGGTCACTTTATTGAAAATTATCATTCTCAACCTTTTTATTTCTGTAAAAGAAATGTGTATCTTATTAACAGTTATGAAAAGTACTTGGATTTTAAAAAAATATTTCTAGAAAAAATTTAATTAATCATAACCTATATTGGTGAGCTTTACCGTAGGAAAAGACTCTTAGGAAAAAAATAGAAAAATAACTTATGAACTCTTTGCAAGCAGGAGAATATGGTTTTTAAAAATATATATGGGACTAATATGTGTACAACTCATAATTATTAAATTTTTAAAAAATTCTTCATCTCTTCTTCATTTTTGAAATGATTAAAAACTTAAAAAAAATAAGATTTAGAAAGAATTATGAACTTACACTAGTTTGCCCAGTTAGAAATATTACAGCTTTCACAGAAGCTAAAACATGTAATTAATTTCAGAAGACTAATTCAACTCTTATTTCACATATACTGAATGAGACATTTATTGGTTATAAAGCTTTTTACTTTTTGTTTTCTTACTTATTCAGAGAAGAGGATGAAAATACCAAATATATTTGTTCCTCTTTTTCTTTACTCAACAATAGGTAAAACACCTTGACTTGAGACCACCTATGATCACACCAGTGACATCAGCTTAAACTTAGTGACTGAGGAGAGATGAAGGAATTGTAGTTGTATTTCACAAGGAGTCTAGAGTAGAGAAACAACTCATTATTATTTTTCTTTCTTTTCACATCTAAAAGCGTTCTCTTTTGTAAGCAAGATTGAGGTCGGGACAAAAGGGAGTGCAGCCTGTCCTGGATTTTGTTGAAGCTGTCTCGGAAAGTTAAGCAGATGGACTGGTACACCCCACATTTGAAATGCGGATCGATTCATGTGATCACCAATTAGGAAGTTAATCCGTGCCCTAACCACTTCTTAAAAAATAAAAATTATGAAATAAAATAAGGAGAACATTACTGAAACATTTAAGGAATGTGAATCTGTGGAGTCCGTAATCTGGTCATTGGGCAGAATCACTAAACACTGCACCCATTTTCCACCTCGACTCTCCTGGGCTGCTCATGATGAATGGGATTCTTTACATGTTGTAAAGTCGGCAGGGCTGTTTGGTCTCAGCAGAAATTGTACGTTAATGCCAAAGATTACCAGAGCAGAAGACAGGAAAGCAAAGCTGTTTAATTTTGTCAAGATAAGACAATATTATGAGGTTTCTGTGACTGAATCAGATATTGTATTTTATAGATGAAGAAAATGCACAACCGCTGTTGGGAGATTTAAGAAATTCTGCTTTAATGAGGGGCCTTGACGATCTGTATCACTTAAAGTGGATGATAGGCATTAGTGGCTGCACACACTCAAGCTGATATTCTTGTCCACGCTACTTTTAATATGCAGCTTTTACTTCCTCCAGCTGCTGCCTGCATTGTTAGGAGATTTCTGGATAAAATGGAAAATATACACAAGTCTGTTAAAAATAAGGGAGTAAGTGAAAAGTTAGACATGGCAAGTTCCTTTTACTCACATATTAGTTATATGGCATAGAGAAAAATAGGCAAAAAAACTTTATTCTTTTTTAAAAAATCTTCTTTTAGGAATCAGAGCATACTTCTAGGCAATCATTTTGTTTTGAATCTATTAGACTCCGTTTGTTCTTTAAGTTTATTGAATATTTAAAAATCTCTGCAGCATTTTTTCAGATCTCATAAAAAAGAATTAGCAGCTAATTCGGCGTACATACCACAGTATTCATAAAGAAAAATGTATAAGTAAGGTTGACCATTGTCACAAAGGACTTACTTATTTCATTCATTCATTTATATAATTTATTTTGCCAGAACAGAGTGGGAGTGGGATGGTGCAGTGGGAAGAGTAGATGTGGGGTTTGTTTGGTTTGGTTTGCATTTGAGCTTATCTTAGAAGATGTGAAATGCCTTCTTTTGATGCAAATCTATCTGTGGACTGGGTGCTAGGACACGAGACTAATTCTTTCTCTCCCCACAGAATGCTCTAAATCTTGCAACAATACTGACTCAATGACTTCAATCCCATGCTCCGTTCTTCCTTTCTTTTGCTTTCTAAACATGTTTGTGTTATGAATCATACTCAGACACAGGGCCCATTGGAGGGCTGGGGCTGGGTCTCCTTGTCGCCACCTCGGTAAATTGGAATGCGGCCCACAAAGTCACCCCTGCCCTGGCCCAGGAGCTCCGCCTGGCTGGGTGAGTTCATTGATGTGATGAATATCACAAAGACTTCATTCTGCGCTGAAATGTTAAAAAGAAGCGGGGAGGGGAAAGAAGAGAGGAATAAAGATGAGGTCTGTGGAGAATGGTTTATTCAGCTAATGAACTTTTGCAGAATGGCTAACAAGGAAGAATTTTGCTTAAGGAAAATTGGTCCTTGATGTGACTCCTTCCCTCCTTCTCTTTTCTCTTTTGCAGGGGTGGAGAGTTAGAGGAGCTGTTAGTTAAATGGTAGTGGGAGATAGAAAGATATATTTTCAAAAGGCAAAACAAAAACTCTCACTTTGGCTTCCAATTCCTGCTTTGAGGAATGTCAGCTTCTCGTAGAGTTGCTCCAGCCACCCCTGCCTCATTTAATATTATGCAGCTGCTGTGACCTAATTGAGCTTCTGGGGCACAAAAGTCAGAGCAGTTGAGGGCTTCACACAGATTCCTCTGCAACATGTCTGTTAACTGACAGTGCCTTTGGGAAAAAGCTTAGGTAGTTAGTCTTTTTTGGTGAAGTCCAGTCTTGTTCTGTCTCAAGAGGGATATGAATAAGGCAGGATGCTTTCAAAGAAGAGAAAAGACTGTGGACACTGGGACACTGGTAAGAAGCGTAATAAATGCAACTTGGCCTATTCCATCTTTGTTTTTTCCTGGAATTAAGAAGAGTCTCCCTACACCTTTGAGCTCTTATAAACTTGTACTAACCTAAATGTATAGGCAGGCTAGAAGTAATTTGCAGATGGCATTTTAAGAAAAAAACATGTTCACGTTCAATAAAACGCCCTATGTGATTGTACAAAGTGTATTTGTTATTAAAGTACCCAGGGTAAATGTTCATATGCCTGTTTATGCCTTCTGTTCAACAGAAGAAAAGAATAGGTGCTGGGACTCACAGAGCTCAGGTTTTAACAACTTTAGGAGGCAAGTTTGCCTTGCAGGCCATTTACAAAGTATTTCTACCACCTCTGACATCAGAGTTATAAATGTTTAAAAGACTGCACAGTGACTTTATAGCTTTCCTGCATTTAATTTATGTTCACACAAACTGTAAAAGAGAGAAAGCTAGTACTTTCTCTTTTCTCTTGCTGTTACATAATGCATTCACACATTAAGTAGACAAAATTGATCCTTCTATTCTCCAGCTGCAGACTTTTGACTTTATTCCCCAAATATTCAGAGTTTGTATGGAAAAGGAGCTCAAGGTAGGGGAAGGGAAAAGACATTTTATTCTCTACCTTTTTGTCCTTTAAACTGTGTGATCAAAAGTATCATCATGTGGCACCACAGTGGGGGGGAAGATAGAGTAAACAGACTGGAGAATGAATTGGACTAATATAATGGAGTTTCACGCCTCCCCTCTTTTTTTAAAACATATTAAGGTTTATTCATTCCACAAACATGCTAAGCATCTGTAATATGTCTGGTGTTGTTCTAGACCCTTGGGATACATTAATGAACAGAAAAATGAATAAAGATAAAGCCTTCCTGAGGCTTATATTCTAGGGCTTGATCATTGAGTCATAGAACCCGATTCAAATTGTTCAGATTATTTTTCCCCAAATGGTCTTACTACTCTTACTCTCATCAAAGACTTCAGTTCCTGTTAATTTTCCTTACCATTTCTGTTGCAATTTTCATTTGCTCAGTGCTCTAACTCCAGTTGTTACCCAAGGAGACTGCATAATCTCATTTCTTGGACATTTCTTCAATTCACATCCATTCTTTCTGTCATTATACACTTGCTATGGACAGAGAAATAGACAGAGGTAATGACCGAAGAGTCTTTGTAGTCCTAGTTCTGTAAATATCTAAGCATCAAGTGTCTACTCAAAGTAGGTAAGTATTGTTTTCTTTCTTTGTAATGTAGCGAACAAAGTTCAAGGAGGCTGCAAATGGGAAAGGCTTGAAAAGAGTCAAGGTTTAGACTTCTCACTTTGAATTCAGTACTGAGACTATGAAGATTGCTGCTTGTTCTGTTTATTCTCCCATTCATTTATGCATTCATGACTCCTTCATCCAGTACACCTTCAGTTACTGCAAAACTATGTGCCAGACACTGCCCCACCTGGCGAGGGGAGCTAAGATACACCAGAAATTCATTGCCCCCTGGATTCAGTCTGGCGGGAGACCAGGATGCTTCTTTGCAAGCACAGTTCTTAATTTCACGTCATGGAGGACTTAAGTGTTTCTTCAGCTGGCTTTTGTCTTTTTCAGTATTTTTGTGGCAAGTTATCTTTGCCAGCAGAGGAATACACTATTAACATGTTGCATACAGAACTGAGTTCTTTGACATGTCCGTGCGTATACACATGCATACGCAGACACGTGCACAAAGATTTATTTTTCCTCAACTTCACTGAACTGTTTTTCCTTCAGTTATCTGCTGAGGGAATATAGAAATATGCAAGCTTTTCAGAAGTCCAATGGGATTCATGCCCAACTGAGGTATTTCACTCTGCACTCTGTGTCAGTTCCTGGAAATTAACAATGACCATTTCACTTTGGTCTTTGATCCCACCAGCTCTGTCACGGTATTTTTCCAGATGTTTCCGTCTTGAGTTGCTATTATAAAAAAGCACAGCACAAGTTAAACTAGGACAAGTTGGCCTATCCTGGGGTCTGAGGAATGTGTTTTCCACCAAATACACTGGTCATGTGCCACAGAAGAGTTAGAAAGAAAAACTCAGACTTCATAATCAGAGTGGTCCTTTCAATTTTAAGTGTATTTCAGAAAAAGTACCATGCCCAGCCCCAGTAAATTGACTCAAGACCCTAGAGCTTCTCCAAGACATTGGTTTGGACTGCTTGTAGTAAAATTGATTTACGTTTTAAAATCAGTTACCATGATATTTTCTCTCAGTTTAATTTTTGCTGGAGTTGAGGTAGATCAAGTTTCTGTGGGCTTTTTTTTTGCCATTTGTATAATACACTCAGGGGACTAAATGCCAATAGGCATAGGAAGAAACCTCAGTTACTAGCAGGTATATCATTTAGATGGTTGGGCAGGGATAGGACAAATAATTGGTGTTATCATGCCTTATATTCAAGTTTTGTAAGCAAGAATTTCATAGCATGTTTTAACACAAATGGCAAAAAAAAGTAAGCCCACAGAAACTTGAAGCATTATACATGAAATTTACTAAACTAGAAATAAGGAGAAGAAGTGAAAACAGTACCCCCAAGAAAGTCCCAGAAGACTGATAACACCAAATGAAGGGACCCTTGCTCTACCTCAACTCCAGCCAAATTTCACCATGAAGACTGTCCTAAAACACATGCCCTGAAACTTAATGTGATATTATAAAAGCAATTTCCTGGAAAGTGACACAATAAGCTTCTACTGAGCTGTGGCTAAAATCTGATACTAGAAAGAGGAAGACGGAAGATGGAATTAGGAAGACGTTGTGTGAATGTTGACACACATTCTCAGAGATAATGCTTATTTTATTATGCATTTCTCATTTGGTTTGTGCTACTACTAACACATAATGTTATTTACTGAGCTTGATTTCCAAATAGGTAATATCTTTTAAAATCCATATAGTCCGTACAAAAATGTATAGATATGTGAATAAAAAGACATGTGAGAATGTTTACAGAATTATTTTTTTGTAGCAAACACTGGAAATTGTCCAAATTTCTATCAATAGTAGAATGGATAAACTGTGGTATATTCATATAATGAAATGCTATGCAGCAATGAAAATAAGCCAATTCTAATTATACTCATCACTATAGATGACTCTCGTAAACATAAATTTGAGTCAAAGATGCCATAGCAAAAGAGCCCATAATTTAAGATTCCATTTATTTAAGTACAAAGAGCAGCCAAACCAATCTATTTTGTCAGGAGGTTGGATAACCCTTGGGAGGGGTTAGTGATTAAAAAGGATCAGAAGGAGGGCTACTGGGGTGCTGGTCAATTTTTTTTTAATTTGAGTAAAGGTTACACAGTGTATTCAGCTTATGAAAATTCGTTGAACACTGCCCTTATATGCACACTTGTCAATATGCATGTTAGAGTTTAATATACTTGTGCAAATGCAAACATATGTTCACTTATTAAAGGGAGCAACACAGCAGAAAAATTTATTTAAGACATACTAAAAGGAAAAAAACCTAGTCAGGTATGATGGCACACGCCTGTAGTCCCAGCTACCCAGGAGGTTGAGGCAGGAGGATCTCTTGAGCAGAGAATTGAGGCCAGCCTGGGCAACATAGTGAGACCCACCTCCCTACCTCCAATCCCTAAAATGAAAAGATCCTGAGTAGCCGTGGGTTTGACGTTTAAATGGGAACATAATTTATGAATATTTCAATCTTATTTTCCACTTTCAAGAGTAGGATATTTTCCTGAGTTACATGTTTTAGTTATTATTTGACCACAGATGCTGAAGAACTGGCGTAAAATATTGTTTGTTACAAGTATGTTGAATTGGATTAAAATGAATAACAAATGCTATTTTTTCTTCATAAATATTCCAGATTTCTTGGATTAAATATCATCTTCTCCCTTTTTTCAAAGTCCACAATATTTTGTGTGTTCCTTAATGATGCATATATTGTACTACTTTTTATTGCATATAATTTTATAAATCTTTGGGGTTAAGTCTCATTCATCTTTGAATCTACTGTGATATCTGCAGAAGGCAGGTATATAGTGAAGTTCTTAAGAGAGTGCTTACTGATGCTAGACATGGGTTCTGAGGTTCTGGTTTCCTCACTGTCATTTGCCCTTCTGTACTTCAGTTCCTTCTCTATAAAATGGGGACAATTGCGGCATCTGCTTCTTACTGTGGTAAAGATGAAATGAATCAATCGACATAAAGCTCTGAGGACAGTTCCCGAAACATAATGCTCAGGAATTGTTAGCTGCACTTTTTAGGCATTGCAGTATAATTAAGATTCTGATAGTGATTCCTGAATGAGAAAAAGAAAAAAAAATTAGAAAGACTTAGAAGTAGTGGTGAGTCAAAAGTCACATGTAAAAATATAGAATTGCTTGGTAGAGTTTCTGCCTGCTAATTCTCCAGTACAATTTGTTTCTCAGATGTTCTTCAAATAAAGTGCACTGATCACTTGTAGTTAAATATATTCAAAGTATTATAAATCATCCTGGTCATAACCAATTCCTAGATTATTTTTTGTAAATATTTGATAGTCTCCTGATTCAGTTAGGTAGGCAGGACTATGGTAACAAATCGACCCAAAAAATGTATAATGACTGAAACACAATAAAGGTTTATTTCTAGCTCACGTTACAGCCCAAGTAGATAAGACTAGTCAGCTTCCATATGATGATTCAAGAACCCAGGTTTTATCAATAGGTATAACATCCCCTAAGTCTCTTCTATTCTTATGTCCCGCTGACAGAAGGGAAAGAGAATGTGGGAGGCTGCATCCATCTACTTCTCTTAAAAGCCATGATGGGAAATAGCACACGTCACTCACTCTCATATTCCTTGGCTAGATTTCACCTAATGGCCACATCCCGCTGAAGAGACACTGGGAAATTTAGTGTAAGTATGTGCCTCAGGAGAATGAATTGAATTTTACAAATAGCTGGCAGTGCTCATCATTATTTAGAGGTAGACGAGGGCTGTAGTTTTACTTCCTGACAATTCCATTGCAAATACAGAAGCATCCTCATAACATTCCCACACAGGTATGTCATAGCAACCAGGCTTCATAATCAGAGTGCCTTTTCTGAAGCTCATCAAAGTCCCAGGTCTCTGTCCCTGTAGGTGCTTTACTCACAGCTGACATGAAAGGGTCCTCTGGAGATAAACACAACACTATTCTAGGGGCAGGACTTGGTTAAGCTTAGAGATGGAATCAGGCAACCAAAGTCCTGTGAATCATGCCTGGATATACCACTGTTTTGGAATCAAGCTCAGCAACCATTTCCAAAAACAGCTCACTTCCAAAAAGTGGCTCACCTCCTTAGCTCACTGGATTATTCTAGTATTACACATAAGAGGGAAGAATGTCTTTAAATTCTATCCACTTTACATATTTTGAGCACCAATAATTTTACTAACAAAACTCTCACCTCTTATGTCCATTTTGCCAATTAAAAAGCTTCTTAGGTTAGTGTGGACATAAAAATAAGGAAAGCGGATCTGCAGCAGCCAACCTGGAGTGTGGCCTCTTGATGAAATACTAGCAACTACAGTGGACGTGCATATTCCTACATAGAGCAACTAACCACCCCTCAGGTATAGAAAGGTTACTCACACATACATATCATACCGTCTGTCCATGCAGCAAAATATTATAAAAGGTAAATATAGCCTTTTATTTAAATACCCCTCTGACAGAGATAGTCAGTGAAGAAGGCTCCCCTATAATAAACCGCTTATTTATAATACAGTGGCTTAGCATGTTATAATTGCTTGAAATATGGAATGTTGTCCGTAAGTCAAGCAGCTGTGCTGTGCTATCAGGAGGTTGTTGTAGCTTTCTGTTTTTCCCCTGCAAAGATTTATAGGGGGCAATGACTTCTTGATTCAATAACCCCCAGAAAAGGAAGTAATGAAATGTTAACATTCTTCCTAGACTTCACTTTTGAAAAGCATCCTGAAGCTACTGTGGGCTGATTGATCATCTCAGTGGGGGTGTCCTCTGGGAGGTTTTGTACAAAATACTCTTAGATTGTGCAATGAGGAGCTGCATTTCCCCAGAACATGAGAAATACCTGTTGTGAAGGTTATTCATGTATTTTTTTTGCATACTCAGAAATTCTTGTTTTTCGTGACTGTCTTTTTTTTGGTTTTGTCATTGTTGGTGGGATGGGGAGAAAGAGGATCTGTTTCTCTGAAATGATATTTGAAGTGAGTTTTTAGATCCTAGATGGAAAGTTCATTTCTAAGTTGTGTAATAACATTGTTTTGAAGTTTAGCGGTGGTGTTCCACGGGGATGCTGGAGACCACCCTACTTGTGCTTGGAGGCTGCTGTCTTCATTCACTGTGGTTTTCACCATGGCAATGGGAATAGAATTTCAGCTCTCTGAGCTCTTCTGCATTCTTAACTAAGCTTGCATAATACAGCTGAGGACAAAGCAGTTGCCTGCTGAAAGCCAAATGAATGCATCAATTTGGCCTCAAGATTTTTGAACTGTTGTGAAAGAGTTTTTGTGTCTTGGGTTTCTTTTTTTCTTTCAAATCACCACTAGCAAATTTTTTCTTCAGATGATATCTTTGTTATCCAAAATTATGATGTATAATGAAGATAGGTAGACGGTTTTAACACATGATTTACAAACGACTTTCAGAGTCTAGATAAGTCTTAAGAATTTTTACATTAAGCGAAAGCTTCCGTTTTAAACGTTTGTCTGGTATTTTGTGCTGGCCATGATCCAACACAAGATTATTGCTTCTGTGACAAAAACGATAAACTCCGTAGAACCTGGCTTACAGATCTTACCGTATTATTGAATAGCACTGAATGGTATTGAGTTATTCTTTTTCTAGATGACAGAGCTGAAAGGAAGCTATTGTTAGAGAACAATTTATTTTTGAATCGTTTCTTTTCCTTTCCTTTCACATTATAGTTTCCCTAACCAAATGACAGTTTTAATTACTGTTACCTGAAGACGTTCTGGTCAGTTTTACCCAAATAATTCGATGGTTGCTTTAGGAAACATAAAGAGCAAGTGCATTTATTGAACTGTCATCAACCCTGTATACTGTGGAAGGCAGGCATTTGAATCAATAAGTACAGCTTGGCTCAGAGACATACAAATCCCTGAAATTCATCAGCAATGAGAACAGTGGGACAACAAAGAATGCCTATCAGTGGTAGTCATGCATAGTATCTCAGTACATTTCAATTTTTTTTTTTTTTTTTTGCCACAGAGTCTCACTCTGTTGTCCAGGCCGGAGTCCAGTGGTCCTATGTGAGCTCACTGTGACCTCCACCTCCCGGGTTCAAGTGATTCTCCTGCCTCAGCCTCCCAAGTAGCTGGGATTACAGGCATGGGCCATCATGCCTGACTAATGTTTGTATTTTTAGTAGAGATAGGGTTTCACCATGTTGGTCAGGCTGGTCTCAAACTTCTGACCTCAGGCAATTTGCCTGCCTCGGGCTCCCAAAGTGCTGGGATTACAGGCATGGGCCACCACACCCAGCAGTACATTTCAGTTTGAGCTATGAAGTCTATAGACATCAGGTATGATGACTCAGGGAATGTCTTGAAGGACAAATCATTTAGAAATATGAAACCAAAGGCATTTGGCTTGTAGATTTAGGTGATGTCAAAGTTACCTGCTTAACCCTACAGATTCCTCATATCTTAGAGTGCACTAAGGTACCTTCCCACTATGGTGCACAGATGGACCACTGTTTTGATTATTGTGATGGCTCTTTACAAAACATTCAGGTGGCTTTGGGTTGGAAAAAGCCACGTAAGAAGTTTTTACTTTCTTAGAGATGACCATTATAGTGAATTAAAGAATAATGATAACAACACAAACCTCTCATTCCTTCTATTACCGTTTAAAAAGTTTTTCTGAATTACATTTCTGGTCATGCTGCTGGCAGCTCCAGACTCAATCTGCCTTCTGTTTTGGATGTTGACAGGCAGGGTGCCATGGTGACGGGGCATCGGCTGTTTTTCACGGTTCGCTTATAGTTGAACTTGACTTTTATTTTCAATGGCTCAAGCCAAAGCAGTTCAAAGATGAGGAATAAGTGTTTGTTGTTTGTTTGGTACGAAATAGAGGAAAGCACTATAATGAAAATAGAATGGGCCCAAATCATGGAAGAATGCGTTATTTATTAAGTCATTTTAGTTCCCTGTAATAAGAACTGGGAAGTCCTGGATGTTTGTAATTGGCTATGTAAGCAGTAATCCTGCAAGATCTGTGTAAGGATCAAATATTGCACTTAATTAAAGTGATTGTACCGGGAACTTTCTAACATTGTTTTCAATTTGAGGATGAAAAGGTATCTTCATTGCTATGGAATAATTTCCTGCCCTTCTGTTCTGATAGTCTGGGGAAAGACTTGTGCCTGCATTAGGGCAGTTAAGTTTAGTCTACAAATTAGACAACCAAGATATTTCCATAAATCAAATAGAAATTTCAATTTATATCTAACTTAATAAATATACATTAAACTCAGCTATTTCTTAGCATAATTGAATAACTTATTCAATGGCTTTTGACACTTTGGAGAATGCATATATGTTGTATTTACTTATTTTATTTCCATTGTATTTCAAAAGGGATTTGAGATAGCTAAGTATAAACACACTGCTTTAGACCATGTCAGGTACAAAGATGCATAAGTAGTCTCTGGCATCCATTTTGTTTACCCAGTTATGCAGAAGGAAAGTGAAGCATTGAACACTGTGTTCCAGACAGCATCTGCCACCTTCCATTCATTCTCAGAAGAAAAACTACCCTGTTTCTTTCCAAGAGAATCTACTACTGTTTATCTGACTCTAATAATTGTTTTTTTAAATATATTCATTGATGACTAATTAAATGAGTCGACCTTTATAACATGGTTCTTGAAGAAACAAGTTGATAGGTCATAAATTCATTGTTAATAATTATGTGCAAAGGTGTATGTTCTGTGTACTTGTGTATGAATGGCTCAGTGACTATTAAATTGAAACACCCTTTTAAACAAATATTTGTTAGGTAGCAGAGCATCACTTTCATAGTTCATTACATTTAACTCCTATCTGTGGCTTAGAGATTTTTTCCATTATAGGCAGATATCTTCTAAAGCATTTCTAAGTTATTTTCCTTAGCAAATATCAAGTTTATATGACATGACCTAATTCTTCCTGTTTTCAGTTTCTAAGACATTTGGCCCATGTCCCATTTGACACTCACCTGCGAAGGATCAAGAACGGTTAATGAAGATGTTTGTGGCTGAAAGTCTGGAAAACAGAAAAGTTAATTGCTGTAGACAAATGCCTTAGCCTGCATCAAGGTGAACTTTAGACTGCAGTATGTCCAGAAGGTGGGGGTACTCAGAAGGGCTTGGTCTGGAAGAATCGGGCTCTGCTCTGGGAAATCTTTCTCAGGCATAGCATCTATAAAAGGACTGGAGAGATGGAGAAAATCATTAATGACTTGGTCAGTGCAGAATTTTTTTAAGTGAAAAGGGGAAACTTTGGAATCCGATGGAGAAATTAATTGTCCATGAAACTCAAATAAATACAAATTAATACAGTGGAAGCAGTGAAGGATACTAGCTCAAAGCTTCGTGTGGTTTGCGAAATTCTACTAGTAGAGGAAAATTAAATAAAGATATGGCTTTAACCTAGTCATCTGTGCTGCAAGACCAGTCTGTGTAGAGGGCATGGTCTGGAGACCCATGTTGGCCTAATGACTGGCAAACAGGGTTTCCTTGGTGTGTCGATGATGGTGGTGAGAAAAATTACCTTGGATCTCATGCAATCCCAGAACTTACCTCTAGGCTAAAGCCTGCATTTGATATTCAGCAAGTCCTAGTGGTTGCTATTTGCTTGTCAGCATGACCACAAAATTGTTTGAGGTGATTCCATTGTTTCTATTAAGACTTAAAATTAAATGGACAGTATTTAAGAAAATCACCCCATACTATTAAATGCTTTTGTATTAATAAATCCAGATGTATATGGCATTTTAAGTGTGTATCTTCACTGAACACTGATTCCATTACAATGGGTAATTAACTATTTTATTCAGACTTGGGTTTTTAAGTTGAAATCTTAATAAGTTTATCAAAAATATTGAACAACTTGAGATAACTTAGGATCCGTTGTGTTTGGACTTTAATTTGTTATATTGACAAGAACAACTTATGTATGTGGTAGTGTTTGTCATCAAACAACTGAGGCAAGGAAATGAAAAAGAAAATGTATAAATGTAAGTTTCAAATGTTTAAGGAATTTGATTAAATACATGAGACCAGGCATTGATCAAAGATTCCCTAAAAGCAATTGTTAATATTTCCTGAATTTCAAAAGAGAATTTAAAAATATTTAAATTTGGATTTAGAAACTTTGAGAGTATTTATTTTGAAAAAAATAAATTCTAGGTAATCCTGTTTACCAAAAGCCACACATTGATACTATCCTGACACAATTCTTCCTCAAATAGTGTATTGTTTATTGGTGGGAAAAAGGCTCCTGCCTGGTTGCGGTGGCTCATGCCTGTAATCCCAGCACTTTGGAAGGTGAAGACAGGCGGATCATGAGGTCAAGAGATCAAGACCATCCTGCCCAACATGGTGAAACCCTATCTCTACTAAAAATACAAAAATTAGCTGGGTATGGTGGCACGTGCCTGTAGTCCCAGCTACTCGGGAAGCTGAGACAGGAGAATCACTGGAACCCGGAAGGCAGAGGTTGCAGTGAATGAAGATCGTGCCACTGCAGTCCAGCCTGGCGACAGAGCAAGACTCCATCTAAAAAAAAAAGGCTCCCAAACAGACAGCATTTTACATAACAAATGTAAATTGTTATATAAAACACATCTAACACATTGTTATGTCAAGCCCTGATTGGGAAAGAGTATAAGCCATTTTCTATGGCACAGGAACTCAGCTGGACCAGGGAGCAAAACTGCATTTTGAAACCTTATTGTCATTTCCCATTCATCACGAACTCTGGTGAGCTCAGTTACAATGCAGAATAATAAGTTCATGTCAGTCACACCCATGAGGATGCTTTTATGTTACCCATTGCAAAAATACCTTGGACAGATTCCATCCTTTGCTTTAGTAGGATGAGTCCTGCAGTTAACTCAGATTGCGTTTGGGTAAAGAGCTGTCTCTGCCCTCGAGCAGCTTGGACTAATCTGGTGATTCCTTCATTAGTACTTTTACCGCATGCCCGCTTTCACCCTGGAGCTCCCTGGAGTGCATGCGTACTCTCTCTCTGATGTGGCCTGTGAACATTCCCTTAACTTGCAGCACCTACTTTTGTTATGAGGCAGAGGTGCCTGAGAGCTTCTTCTGGTCTGTTTGTGAGACAGCTCTTTGAAATCAGCAAGAACGTTTCTTGTCCCCTGTCCCCAGTCTGGGTTTCTGCTCAGAAGTTATCTGTTCCTGCTGGATGTTGGAATGGTAGTTTGTGTAGACCACCCAGAAAATGTTTGTCTCATCAGGGATTTGGGTGGAAGATAAAAATGTGAAAAGAGTAAATATTTTAGAGAACGTAAACCAGTCTGTTTCTTCTAGCACCGCTCTATGATTCATCAGGCTAATCATTTAAATATTATCCCAAATGCTTGATCAAAATTGAGTATGACAGTTTTCAATATGGAGCTCTTTCTTTCACATTTTATGAGTGAATCTGGTTTTCTGACTCAGATAAACAAAAGGTTGCTGACTTATGCAAAGGTTTCATATAGCTCAGGAAGACTTGCTGGGTAATGAAATTCAAGACTGAGACAGAAGGCAAAGCTGGGATGGATGGAGATAGCCTGTACTACATGATGTATAAATTAGACTGTCCATGCCCAGGTTCACTCATTTAGGTCAAGGAGGACAGGTATCCACATATGTGTATTACTCTTTATTTTTATATATTCTGCATTATCCAGCTCTCTTATGGTTTCATATGCATTAATTATGCTTGTAAAGAGGTTACAACTTTTTTCTGTCACTCCGAAGTACCTGTTAGAAAACCGATCACACAGTATTCAAATATTTGGTTAGTTGGCTAGTTTTAATTTGGGGGACTAAGCATCCATGAAAAGGTAAATATTGAATATATTGACTCATTCATTTGCACAAATAAATATCATCCTGTCCCAGGTACTGTACTAGATGCTTAGATGCTGTGATGATCAAACAGTCAAGGTCTTGGCTCCTGTAGGGTACACCATCCAGGAGGCGTAGGGGGAGGATCAGAACAGAGATGGCACAGCTAAGGATAAAATAAGAAGTACAGAAAGCTATAAAATGGCTCTCATAAATAGCAGAGAAACCTAAATTAGCTGGAGTGATTATTGAAGTCCTTGCTGGAAAAATAACATTGAAACCAGTAGTTCCCCAACTTTGGTGCCCAATGGAACCATCTAGGGAATCTTTAAAAAACACTGCTTTTTAAAACTGGAGCTCCCACCTCCAGTTATTATTATTTGTATAGGCTGTGACCTGGTCAGTAGGATTTTTGAAAGCTGTCTGGGTGATGCTAATATGTATCAGAGTTTGAGAGCCAGTGATTTAGGCCGAGACCTGAAGAACGAGTCAGAATTGATCAGGTGAAGAATGTTGAGGGAATATAGTCTTCTTGAGTTTGAAAGGGCTGTATACCCAAGGGACTGAAAGAAGGCTTGTTTGTTGGATCAGGGTGAAAAGCAAGGCTGTTGACTACTGACCTAAACCAGTTTGGTCATGAACAACACTTAGATTGATTTTATCAGTTAGCAATGAATAACTTTAAATATTATAGGTACTCTTATCACCTGGCTACTAGACTATAAAAAATGTAAATTCCAAACAGAATTCCTTTTTTTTTTTTATTATTATACTTTAAGTTCTGGGGTACATGTGAAGATCATGCAGGTTTGTTACATAGGTATACACATGCCATTGTGGTGGTTTGCTGCATCCATTGCCCTGTCATTTACATTAGGTATTTCTCCTAATGCTATCCCTCCCCAATCTCCCCGCCCGCTGCTATTCCTCCCCAGCCCCCCACCCCTGCAGGCCCCAGTGTGTGATATTCCCATCCCTGTGTCCCTGTGTTCTCATTGTTCAATACCCACTTATGAGTGAGAACATGTGATGTTTGGTTTTCTGTTCTTGTGTCAGTTTGCTAAGAATGATGGTTTCCAGTTTCATCCACGTTCCTGCAAAGGACATGAACTCATCCTTTTTTATGGCTTCATAGTATTCCATGGTATATATGGGCCACATTTTCTTTATCCAGTCTATCATTGATGGGAATTTGGGTTGGTTCCGGGTCTTTGCTATTGTAAACAGTGCTGCAATAAACATACATATGCATGTGTCTTTATAATAGAATGATTTATAATCCTTTGGGTATATACCCAGTAATGAGATTGCTGGGTTAAATGGTATTTCTGTTTCTAGATCCTCAATGAATCACCACACTGTCTTTCACAATGGTTGAATTAATTTACACTCCCACCAACAGTGTAAAAGCATTCCCTTTTCTCCACTTTCTCTCCAGCATCTGTTGTCTCCTGATCTTTTAATGATCGCCATTCTAACTGGCATGAGATGGTATCTCAATGTGGTTTTGATTTGCATTTCTCTAATGATCAGCAATAATGAGCTTTTTTTCATGTTTGTTGGCTACATAAATGTCTTCTTTTGAAAAGTGTCTCAAACAGAATTCCACCACATACTCATTTAATAAGCAGCCTTTAGCAAAGCAGGCACAAAGCAGTTCACACACTGTGTTACTTAAGCCTCACAAAGTCTCAGCTCTCTGTGCATCCAGGTAAGCTGGCCTTGCCTTATAGGAAAGGTTTATTAAGGCAAAAACAACAGCATTTATCAGGCATGATTCTAGGCCTTCTAGTTGGCATCGTAAATCAGAAATTTTCCCAAACCAATGCTGGCCACATATCCAACTATGTGTTAAGCCACAGGCACCATTTCTCTAAGAGGTACAGGATTCTAGCCTAAGGGATACATGAAAACAGGCCTGGCTGGATTCTTACTTGTTTCTACAGTGGTGGGCGTATGTCTAACATATTTCTACCCATGCACATACTTTGAATATCTTAAACATCACCTAATGAAATTTCATCGTTACATCTATCATGCTAATTAACAATACACTACTTTCACCAATGAAAACCTAATGTTGATTTTTATTGGCTACTGGCAAAGTTTCTGCTCTTGACTGATATACAGATGATAAAAGGGCTTGTAGTCACTGCCTCTGGAGTGTGTCTCTTTCCGATTGAATGTTACCTTGCCACCCTAGTCTTGCCTCCTTTATAGTACATTGCCTTGATGAACCCTGAACATGAAAGTATAAACAAACTGGTATATGCACAATATCACCCTGATTACGCTGGAGTAATTTAAAGTAATTTACAGACTGTAACAGAAGAGTAATGGCCACCTCAGAGCCTGGAAAGATTGAAAAGGAGGCAAGGATAAAATTCTTCTTGGATGAGAAAGCTGACGCTAATTGACTTTCTTCTTGCCTATTTATAGAATACAAATGCTTATAGAGAGCAAAGAAATAAAGGAGGAAATGGAGAGCTGCTTGAATGTTCACTTTTATAAACCAGCAAATGCTTCATTGTCTAGCTCTGTGAATGGCTTGAATTGCCACTTTAAAGCATTGCTTCTTCCGTATCTCACACAATGTATCGATCCCCAATTTTCCCTATTTCTCAATATCTGGAGCTTTAAATATTCGTCAGAAAACTCTTGATACAATTATTAAATTATGTTGTTATCGTCCTGGGTCACTGTGTATCCGGTTGAGAGAATTCCTTCGGGGACCCTTTGGTGCTTTTTTCAGTAATGAGGTTACATTTTTGATCAAGAGAAAAATCAAGGTGAGGACTTGAGTACTGCGGGAGTCACAGCCCTAACCTCTAGCAGACTGTGAGAGATACTTTCCCACAGCCAGTTCAAAAGACAAGGCAGGGATTTTGAAATCTGTGTTTGACATCTTTTTGACACGACTAGATTACATAGATTCAGCTGCTGGCTACGCCTTTATGCCATTCTCAATAGCAGAGATATTTATGAAGCCTTCTCCATTTCCAGCTACTCTTTTGCTTTTGTTGCTGGAGGATTAGTTTGCCTTCATAGCAGATCATTTTTAGGGTTGCTTTTCATGAGTCAGCATTTTCTATGCTCTTTTATGTTACAGATGGAGCCTGTGATCCTGGTCTGTATTTGTGTTGTCAATAGAAATATAGGTTGTTGGGAGGCCAAGGCGGGTGGATCACGAGGTCAAGAGATCGAGACCATCCTGGTCAACATGGTGAAACCCCGTCTCTACTAAAAATACAAAAGATTAGCTGGGCATGGTGGCACGTGCCTGTAATCCCAGCTACTCAGGAGGCTGAGGCAGGAGAATTGCCTGAGCCCAGGAGGCGGAGGTTGTGGTGAGCAGAGATCGCACCATTGCATTCCACCCTGGGTAACGAGCGAAACTTAGTCTCAAAAAAAAACAAAAAAAGAAATATAGTTTGAACTACATATGCCATTTTAAATTTTCTTGGAGCTAAATTTCTACATTTAAAAAAGCAAAAAGGGCTAGGCACAGTGGCTCATGACTATAATCCTACCACTGTGTGAGGCCAGGACTCGAGGATCACTTCAGGCCAGAAGTTAAAGACCAGCCTGACCCACATAGCAAGATTTCTGTCTCCACAAAAAAATTGCAGAAATATTAGCCAGGCATGGTGGCGCATGCCGATAGTGCCAGCTACTCAGTAGGCTTAGGTGGGAGGATTGCCTGGGTCCAGGAGTTCAGGGCTACAGGGAGCCATGACTGTGCCACTGCACTCCAGCCTGGGTGACAGAGCAAGAACGCACCTCAAAAAATAATAATAAAATAAACATTTAATTAATGAAAATAAAAAAGCAAAAGAGATATGAAATTAACTTTAATAATATATTTTATAGAAATCAATGTATCAAAAATATTGTTCTTCTAACATGCAATCAGTGCAAAAATTATTATGAGGTATTTTACCTTCTTGTTTTCATATAAAGTCTTTGTAGTTGGTGTGTCTTTTATACTTCTCCAACACATTTTGAGTTGTAATAGCCACATTTCCATTCCTCAATAGCCACATGTGGTTAGTGGCTACTATATTGGACAGTACACATCTGTTTAAGAGTACTAAGAAATGTGTTATCTAAATAACCCATTGTTCATTCTGTAAAGCATATTCCTGGATCATTCCCTATCTTCCTAGTGGTTTTTGTGACCAAGGCACCTACTGTTGAGATGACAGGCTTAGGACATTACTGGAGGACAGCTAATTGGCTTTTTGAAATTCAAACATGTGAAAGTCTTTAGTTCCATGCTCTAGCCATGTTGGTTAATTGTTGACAGTGTTATAAAAATGATAGAAATAGACTGATTGCTGATAGTAGTAGAGCACTGGTAAGTCAGGAAAGGTGTGAGAATGAGTAAGCAGTAGAACTCATGGTACTTTTGTGAAACCTAAATTTTAAAAACTCAGAAGAAAAAGGCTGAGCATGTGTATCTCCAGAAAGCTCATGAATACTCATGCTGCTTATTTTTCTGCTTCAGCACCAGCCTAGTAATGACTACTGGAAAGAACAGGACACAAATGATAGAAGATGCCCCCTTCCCCACTCCTTATTGAATCTGACAGCATGAGACAGTGAGGTCGTCATCTCCCACTGTTGATTCCAAGTCTCCCTCATCTGTATCATCATGAAGCTGAGGAATTTCCCCTCTTAAGTGGAAACAGTAAACTCTCAGTTTTGTTTTGTTTTTTTGTTTTTTGAGACAAGGAGTTTCGCTCTTGTTACCCAGGCTGGAGTGCAATGGCGCAATCTCGGCTCACCACAACCTCTGCCTCCTGGGTTCAGGCAATTCTCCTGCCTCAGCCTCCCGAGTAGCTAGGACTACAGGCGCTCACCACCATGCCCAGCTAATTTTTTTTTTTTTGTATTTTTAGTAGAGACGGGGTTTCACCACGTTGACCAGGATGGTCTCAATCTCTTGACCTCGTGATCCACCCACCTCGGCCTCCCAAAGTGCTGGGATTACAAGCATGAGCCACCGCGCCCGGTGAACTCTCAGTTTTAAAGGAGAGAGACAGAGAGGGAGGAACAAACTGTTCTTGTTTTTCTTCCTGCCTAGCCCTTACTTTCATTGTTATGTAAGAGGTTCATGCCAATGATTTTGGTGCCTGTGTGTGCATTTCTAAAAATTAAAAAAGACGTTGTAAAATCACCACCCAAAGTCCACGTCACAGGATTTCAGGGGTTCTGTAACTGTTACACTTAGACCACTGAGTGTGTCTACTGTGGGTATTCGTAGTTATGCTCGACATAATCATGAGACTGCAATTTGATGTCACATAAGCTCTATAAAGGAATAACTTGAATTTCTATATGTTAATATAGGATGGCTTGCTGTATGGTTTTAATTATCATTTTCTCTAATACTTTGTTTATTTCTTTGGTGATTCAGCTTAAACATAGTCGAAACTGGTACTTAGTAATGAAAAGGAATGGAAACGGTTTAGAATAGACACAGTAGTTGATACTAACAGGCATTTTGGTGCTGGGAAGATATAGGAGGATATTACTAATATTTATCATTCTTACAATAGTCTGAAACGTCTGAAAGCCATTCCCTCTAACACAGCACTGTCCACAGCACTGTCTGCAAATGATGAAAATGTCTCCTGTCTGTGTTAACTAGTAAGGAAGCCAACGGCCACATGTGGTATTGGACATGAAAAATGTGACTTGTATGCCTCTGAAACCAAAACCTGATTATTTTCTAAGGATTTACATTTCTGTTGAACTCACATCAATGTTTTTTCCAAGTTAGTATCGACAACAAATACCAGTGTGAAGTGAAAGTGTGCTGAGGCGCACATTACTGCCACCCTTCATTTTAAATTTGGCTATTAATAATTTTCACCTTATTTAGGCCTGGGTTTTTGGCCTAAGTAAGGTTTTATGAATTTTCTTACTTAACTGTGGTAGTCGAAGTTTTCTGATCTTGGAGCCGCTTCAGCTTTTTTGAGGTGCCGATGAGGACAGAACTTATCTTGCCTCAAATGTAAGAGGCAATATTAGTCAGAACATTTTGGTTTCTCAGTGAATTTCTTTGCTTTCTACAGCTTGATCTTTAGAGAACACTATCCTTTCAATCCCCATGCTTCTCCCACTTTTGCAAACAAGAGTTCACAATTCTTGTCCTGATTTGCCAATTTTGTTACCCTAAATTTCCAATTAAGATATACCTACATAAGTGTTGTGATAGGAGTTTAGAAAGAACTTGTTCAACTCTTGCTTCCCAGTTTTTCTCTTTCCTAATTATCATTTTTCTTCTCTAATAAATGCTAATTAAACTACTTTTCTTGCTGGTTTAGAGCCTTCTGTTTTAATATTCTTCTGTCTAGAGGCTAAGTTTAGTTTTTCCTCTGAATTCTTCAGACCATTTTAAACAGGAATGAACATGTAAAACCACTTTAGACTGAGGTTTCTTATTTTCTCAACAAGATAGCTTCAATTACTATAGATATGTGTTCATATATTTTAATAGAAGTCACAGAAAAAACCAGATTGACCCTATGCTCTTTTGACCTACAAACATATATGTTGAAACTTTGAAAGCCCCTTTTCTGGTGTCTGAATAACCACAGGGTTTTTAAAACTTGAATTCCTGCATGAATCATTGGCTCTAGGAAAGACTTGGAGTTGTAGGGTAGGCTGGTCACACTTATGTCAAAGGATTATAAAATGTACTCTGCTGTTCTAGAGCAGCAATCCCCAAAGCAATCCCCAACTTTCTGGCACTAGGGACCTGTTTTGTGGAAGACAATTTTTCCATGGACAGGGAGGCATAGTGGGGGATGGTTTTGGGATGAAACTGTTCCACTTCAGATCCTTAGGCATTAGTTTGATTCTTATAAGGAATGCACAGCCTAGATCCATTGCATGCACAGTTCACAATAAGGTTTATGCTCCTATGAGAATCTGATGCCACTGTTGATCTGACAGGAGGCAGAGCTCAGGCAGTAATGCTCACTTGCCCACTGCTCACCTCTTGCTCTGCGGCCCAGTTCCTAACAGGCCAGGGACTGGTAGTGGTCTGTAGCCCAGGGAATGGGGAACCCCTGTTTTAGAGGCTGGTGGCACTTGGTTAAATCCAATAAATTTACAATATCCAAGAAGACAGACTAGTGCTACCGAAGCTTTCCAGTTGCAGAGTCACCTCAAATTTGGGCTAGTGAAGACTGAAGCCGCTTCCGTTGCTCTGCCCTTTGCAGAAAGGCTGTATTCCTTAGGCAGTTGAGAAATACACGTTTTGGGAAATACATCTTTCTTACTATTTGGTAAATTAAAGAATGAGCCTCACAGGCCAGGTCCGGAGAACTCAGTGCTAGAATGTTTAATAACTTTGTCCTTCAAAGAGCTCAAAGAAATTGACTGTTCTTTCTTAAATCTTCATATAACATCCATGAAGTTCCTTAGGAGATTTTATAATTTTATTTTTTTGTTGCATTGAGCCTGTTCAGAAACTCAGTAGGAAAATGGGTTCAGGAGAAGCAGCCCTGGTTGAAATGGGGTTTGCCTCCGAAGTCCTTCCTTCTTCTCTTTCCTTGATGATGTTGTGTCCGTATGTCCTTGGGGGAGTGCCCGTGGAATACACCCTGAAGACTGGCCAAAAGCATCACTAAAGATGTGTGATGAACAAAAGTTTGGTTGAGATGCTGCCTCCACCCCAAAACAGTTTATGTCATTCTAATGCTGCTCAGCAGAGTTACTGCGTTTGTCTCTCTCTACACAAACAAACGCACGTGCGCGCGCACACACAAACACACACACACTCTCACTCTGAGTTTCCTAGATCCCAAAATAATTCATTAGTTAAGGCTCTAAATACATGGTAATTTCAGAATAGATTGGGCCTTTCTGAGTTACACCCCTCCCCAATGAAAGGGAGACAATGGAAATTATTCTACTCACCAGGAGCTCCTGGAAATAGAGTTTATGTGGAAATACAAACATCACAGTAACGGTCTGTGCATTGAGAGAGGAGAAACTCAACAGATGTAGAAACGAAAAGAGGAGAACAAGTGGCCAAATCCGGAGGTGCCAGAGGAAAGAGGGATATATGACCTCACTTTACCTTCGTCATGGATGACTTACAAGGATTAATTAAGTAAAAGTCGGTAAATGTCTTGAAGCTCTTTGGAGAAAGAAGCTATTTAAATATAAATTACGATCATGCAGCTTACATCTCACATGTCAGGCATGCATGGTTAACTGTGTCTGATGTGTAAGTTACGCTTCCTCCGGGTTACAGCCATGAGGATCCCGGATCCACCTCCCTTCTTTGACACAGTGGTAAGACAGAGATTGATGGTGTTATATGTGGCATCCGAGTCCAGGGCATCTGAGCTGTGATGTTGTGCTTGGAGAAACCAGAGCCTCTATCTGAGCCTCTTCTTGGGCATTTTCTTAAGACATTTGAGGATGGAGTGGGAAACAGAAGTTAGTAAACTGAGAAAATCTTTTTTTTTTCAATTTACTTTATTAACGTATTGCCTAAGAGGGTAAAACAAATTAAATGAGAGAAGAATATATTTTTAACCAGATGTTTTAGTTTCCTAGGGCTGCTATGAAAAAGGACCACCAAGCATGAGACTTAAAACAACAGAAATATATTCTCTCACAGTTCTGAAGGGCAGAAGTCTAAAATAAAGGTGTTGGCCTCTTCTAGCTTCTGGTTGCCCTAGGCATTCCTTGACTTATGGCAGCCTTCACTGTGACTCCAAACTCTGCGTGTGTGTACGTGCGCGTGTGTATGTATGTGTAGGTGTATGTGTGTGTATGTATATGTGTGTATGTGTGTGTATATGTGTGTATGTGTGTATGTATATGTGTATGTGTGTATGTGTGCGTATGTGTGTGTATGTGTATATGTGTGTATGTATGTGTGTATGTATGTGTGTATATGTGTGTATGTATGTGTATGTGTGTGTATATGTGTGTGTGTGTGTCTTCACCTGCCTGTCTTCCTGTCTTCTTTTTTTTTCCCTTTCCCTTTCCCTTTGCCTTTCCTTCCTTCTTCCTTCCTTCCTTCTCTCTTCTCTTCTCCTTCCTTCCTTCCCTCCCTCCCTCCCTCCCTCCCTCTCTCCCTTCCTTCCCTCCCTCCCTCCCTCCCTCCCTTCCTTCCTTCCTTCCTTCCTTCCTTCCTTCCTTCCTTCCTTCCTTCCTTCATTCCTTCCTTCTCTTTCTCATTCTGTCACCCCAGGCTAAAGTACAGTGGCACAATCACAGTTTGTTGCAGCTGTGACTTATTTGGCTCAAGTGATCTTCCCACCTCAGCCTCCCAAATAGCTGGGACCACAGGTGCACACCACCACATTTGGCTAATTTTTGTATTTTTTTGTAGAGATGGTGTCTTGCTATGTTTCCCAGACCAGTCTTTAACTCCTGGGCTCAAACAATCCTCCTGCCTTGGCCTCCTTAAAGTGCTGGGATTACAGGCATGAGCCACAGCACCCGGCCTGGCTGTCTTCTTATAAGGACACCAGTCATATTAGAGTAAGGACCTAGCCTTCTCCAGTGTGATTTCATCTTATCTAATGACATCTGCAACAACCTCATTTCCAAATAAGTTGCCATTCTGAGGTACCGGGGATTAGGACCTTAATATACCTCTTTTTTGGAGATAGGAGGATGCAGTTTAGCCCATAACACCAGGTTAGGATAGTTTTCAAAATTATGGAGGAGCCGAACCTTGCCCTTATGTAAAATATCGGGTGCAGTCCCATCAGAAAGCAGGTAGAGCAGCCCTGCCCTGCTGGGAGCAGCAGTGGAGGGCAGCCCCTGTGCTCTGCACCCCTGCCAGCTCACCTTGTTCCATCCCACCTGGGAACATGTTCTTTAGATGCCACAGAGACACCCACACACCCCACAGGGCTTCAAGGGTCACAGCAGAAAAAGCTGCAAAACTAGATGTTCCATTGGCTTCCTTAATCAAATAACACCCTATGCCTTTATAACAGGCAGCTTTAAGGAATGCAAACTCTGAAAATAGTCTGTTTATAAGGCTTGTTGGAGAGCAATTGCATTTCCTCTGTTTGTTGGTTTTAACATAAAGGAAATAGAATCTACTGAAAGCAGACTTTTTCCAGTGTCACCTTAGCACTGCCACCAGCACCCATTCAGATTTGGGTGCTACAACAGACTGAGGGCTGATTTTTCCCCTCTATATGTTCACGTCCATGGAGAATGGTAGCATACACCTCACCCTCTAGCATCTAACTCCCTCCTTTCATAAAGATTGGGAAAGTGGGAAATTCATTCTTGGAAAGACTGAAACAGAGGGAGTCACAGCCAGTCCTGCTTAGCAGCACAAGTTCCACCCACAAAACCAATTGACTCCACAGCAGAAACCCTGACTGAGGTCCACGCCGCCTCCCGCCCGGAGTGATGGAACTCTTGGGAACAGTTGCCCAGGCTCCTGGGAGGAATGCCGACTTGCTTATCAGTCTCTGTGAGGCTGTGATCTCCCTGGCAAGGAGAATTATATTCTTTAGATAACTAGATCCAAGAAGAGGAGGCTCTGGGAAAGAGTACACAAAGCTGCCCAGGGGGAAAAGTCCTGATGATAACTCCACAAAAGGCAGCTTTAAATGGTCTCAGCTGATCCATATTTTTAGAAAATTGTTTTTACTCTGCCTGCCTGACTGTAATACTATTGACAGAAACAGCAATGAAAGTGAGATAAACATGATGTTGTGATCTTTCTTTTTATGCCTCCCATGAAGCCCTGGGTAGTATAATTTGTGCTTGACAACCTTTGATTAGCAGCTGCTCATTCTGCTGAGGAAAGGAGGCGTTTATCTGAGACACTGTTCTCCCTTCATAAATAAGCTAGAAATTTGCCACTGGTAATAGTTTCCCAGAGGAAGCCAGGTCTGACCCTCCTCTTTCACACCTCTGGACACTTCTGTTTGCAGCCCTGTGGGAAGGGGCAGTGGGGAGTCCATGGGGCCAATTGGGGAAGTCTGTGTCTCACTCTTAGGGCAGCGCTGGGTGACCCCAGAACTTTTTGAATGTGATATGGTCTGTGCCAGGCAGATCAAGTACTTTCTTCTTTTCTCTGTGACAGTGTGGTGCTGCAGAGAACGCTTTGGACTGAGCAACAAAAGATTTCATTCCATTTCTGATTCTTTTACTCACTGTGACTTTGAGCATGCCATCTAATCTCTTTGATCTGCAGCCTAGATTCATTCTTCTCAAACCAAGCTATCCATGTACTTAAAGAGAAATGGCTCCAGATACGTGAAGCCACAGGATAAACCCAAAATATCTTCTAAGAGCATCAATTTTACTCCATCGTTCTGAAGAAAGCATTTTTATGTGAGAAACAAGGCTACCCATGGAGTAGAATGGAGAACTTCACAATAATTTTTCAGTAGGTTCAAGGAAAACCTGCTTCAGAGAAGTGATAACTAAAGTATGAGTTCACCGCTCTCTGTTTTTAGGAATATTGTCATGTCAGAAAGTTTGAGAAGCACTAGATTAGGTCATCTTGAGGCTGCCTTTCTACTCTTATATTTGGGGATTCAACAATAAACCTGTTTTGGGCTGAACATTGCCCCCTACAAGTTCAAACGTTGAAACCCTAACCCCCAGCACCTCAGAATGTGACTATGTGGAAATAGGACCTTGATGAAGTTAAAACAAGGCTGTTAAGGTGAGTCCTAATCTAATCTGACAGGTGTCTTCATCGCAAGAGGAAATTTGGTGCTAGGTGGAGTGGCTCACACTTGTAAACTCAATAATTTAGAAGGCTCAGTCAGGAGGATCGCTTGAGGCCAGGAGTTTCAAATCAGCCTGGGAAACATAGGAAGAAATATGTTGATAAAATATACCTTAAAACAGATTGAAAAAAAAAAAACTAGCTGAGTGTGGTGGCATATGCTTGTAGTCCCAGCTATTTGGGAGGCAGAGGCCAGAGGATCACTTGAGCCCAGGATTTCAAGGCTGCAGTGAGCCAGGATCAGGCCACTCTACTCCAACCTGGGAGGCACAGAGAGACTCCATCTCCATAGAATAAAAAAGAAAAGGAAATTTGGACTTACATTAGGGATGCCTGCTTTACAGAGGAAAGACCATGTGATAAATGGCTATCTCAAAGCCGAGAAGATCACAAGAAACCCAACCTGTGTACACCTTGATCTAGGACTTCTAAGCCTCAAGAACAGGAATAAATAAATGCATACATAAACGAATGAATGAATGAATGTTGTTTGGGCCACCCGGTCTGTGGTGTTTTGTGATTGCAGACTTAGCAGACAACAGGAACGGGTTCCCTTTGCCTACTACATAAAGGCCAACGTCCTTGGCCCAGAATTAATGACCTTCTGCAAGGGTCATTGACCCCATCCTCACCATTTAGCCACCACTGCCCTCTACTCCCTTAATTCCTAACCTGCTCTGTTTTCATGTTGTGCCTGCCCATCACCAGGCCTATTCCCTTCACCTGAGATGATTACGTGTCTACTTCTCAAAACGCACTCATCCCTAACCACCTCCTTCCCCTCAGGTCCAGCCTAAAATGAACGGACTTAACTGGTAACTGCTGGTTTTGCTGCTAAATGACACAAGGATAGCCTTGACTTTGGGTTGTCTCTGCGTTACTCTTCTTCCTCTCAGATGCCAGAGTGAATAGACCACTTCTTCCGTGTTTTAAAAGTTCGTTTCCACAGCAAGACGTCCCATGCTTGACATAGAGTCAAGCCCACCAGCTCAGTGCATGAAACAGAGATCAATCGATATTGTTTTCTCTGCCAAATATGTTTTTAAATATACAGTCATTCCTTATTGTCCTTGGGGGATTGGTTCCAGGACCCTTCTTAGATATCAACACCTGCAGATGCTCAAGTCCTTCATATAAAATGTTACAGTATTTGCATATGACCTATGCACACTTCCTGTATAGATGAAATCACCTCTAGATTACTCGTAATACCTAATACAGTGTAAATGCAATGTAATGGTTGTTACAGTGTATTGTCTAGGGAATAACAACAAGGAAAAGAAGTTTGTGTTCAATGTGGATGTAACTTTTTTTCCAAATATTTTTGATCCATTGCTGGTGAATTCATGGATTCAGAACCCATGGATTCAGAGGGCTGATTCTATCTTATAAATATATTTTACACATATATATCTCTTATATATAACTACATTTTAAACAATACCTTAAAAGATATATCTCATATTTTGATTCATATGTATACAACTGGTGTTCACGTTTTTGTTTGTGGAAAATTCATACTGAGATAATTAAAATATCAGGCTAAAAATGAGTATTCCTGCTTCTACCCTCTGCTAGTTCTGCAATGTGTAGTGCAGCATTTGCCAACCCCCGGCTCTTTTTTTGAGATGGAGTTTCGCTCTTGTTGCCTGGAGTGCAATGGGGTGATCTTGGCTCACTGCAACTTCTGTCTCCCAGGTTCAGCTGATTCTCTGCCTCAGCCTCCCAAGTACCTGGGATTAGAGGTGCCTGCCACCATACCTGGCTAATTTTGTATTTTTAATAGAGACAGAGTTTCACTATCTTGGCCAAGCTGGTCTCGAACTCCTGACTTCAGGTGATCCACCTGCCTTGGCCTCCCAAAGCGCTAGGATTACAGGCATGAGCCACCACACCCAGCCACTTTTACCAATTTTGAAGTCTGTTTTTTGTTTTGTTTTGTTTTGTTTTACTGTGCTGGTTGGATAATCTATTTGAAAATATATAAGTCATTGTGACTGCTTGTGGTAGTATTTTAATACTTTTTCCTTTGTAAAATACTTTATAATCATATTTCAAGGTATGTTTTTATATCTTTTAATATTTGGAAAAAACGCTAAAGACAGATGTGGTGATTTAAATCGAGTCAAAGTGGAAAAAAAGTATTGAACTGACTGGAAACAAAATTCTCAAGCACTTTCAAAGCTTGCTTGGGACTGATCAGTACATCGCAGATGGAAAAGTCAAAAGTTTCAGTTCTCCTTGACATTTCAAGAGAGAAAGAAAACAGGAAAATCATGATATCTGTCTTGAAAGAAATTGCTTTCAAACTGCTCTCTGTCAGCTATTCCAGATGGCTTTGCTGTTTCTTAGCAGAAGTGAAGGTATTTTTAAAAGACCTGAGGAAAATAGATGAGGTTCTTCTTTCCTGATGTCCCAGAAGGAGGATGAAGGGAAAACTATTTTTAAGGAATTGTTTCTTTTGAGTGAGTTGGCCACCTGTACCACCGTACTGATGGTGCATATCAGCAATCTCATGATACATTCATATCCTCTCACTTTTAGTGATGAAAAAGTTGCTATATGAGTATAAATAGTGAAAACAGTATGTATCCTAAGCTGAAAAGTTGGCAGAAGTTAGTAAATGCCTGTTATAAATGGCTTATATATTTAAAATATATGGTATATAATTTGTATATGTTACATTCCTAACAATAACAAAATAAGCTACATATGTAATTTGTAGATCGAAATTATACATGAGGTTGTAGATGATTATACCTAAGGTTTGGTACACACATACGTATGTATATGTATGTTTTATAAATCTTTACATAAATGCTTACAATCCTTAAAACAGCTCTGTGATATGGATTTTATGCCTTCTTATTGATGAGGAAACACACTCAGAGGAAGGCAAGAAAGTTGCCCATGATCACAAAGCCAGAGGGGAACACAGCCATACTTCTGAGGCCATCCTTTCATTACCATACAACACTGCAGTAGTGTTTGTGAAATTCTTAGGGTGTTTGGTTCACTGTGGCATCACAGTCAGTAGTAAAGACCTGGATTCAGGCCAGACATGGTGGCTCATGACTGTAATTCGAGCACTTTGGGAAGCCGAGGCAAGCAGATCACGAGGTAAGGAGTTCGAGACCAGCCTGGTCAACGTGGTGAAACCGCATCTCTACTAAAAATACAAAAATTAGCCCAGTGCAGTGGTGCACATCTGTAGTCCCAGCTACTTGGGAGGCTGAGGCAGAAAAATCTCTTGACACTGGGAGGTGGAGTTTGCAATGAGCTGAAGTCGGGCTGCCACTGCACTCCAGCCTAGACGACAGAACAAGACTCAGTCTGAAGAAAAAAAAAAAAGACCTGGATTCAAGTCTGTCCTGTAGTGTGTCAAAACAAAAATCCATGCAATTGCATGCTTTAATTTTCCTGTTTGCAAGCTAGGAATAAGTAGTATTTGCCATCAGAATATCTAGGACTTAAAGAAATGTGCTATATTAAGGCATGATATACTTATTTTCATTAGGACTTGGGCTTTTCACTTGAAACTTTCTGCATTACTGTTTTTGGATTGGATTTTTAAAGTTTTTATTTGTATGCATTTAGGAGTACACAGTGTGTCCCACGGATGTGTGTGTAGCGGGGAAGTCCCAGCTTTTAGTGTCCCCATCACCTGAATACTGCACATTGTACCTGACAGGTGACATTTCATCTCTCACTTGCTTCTCACTCTGTATTACATTTTGAAAGTTTGTCCTGGCCAGGCACAGTGGCTCACACCTGTAATCCCAACACTTTGGGAGGCTGAGGCAGGTGGATCACAAGGTCAGGGGTTTGAGACCAGTCTGGCCAACATAGTGAAACCCCGTCCTAATAAAAATACAAAAAATTAGCCAGGTGTGGTGGTGTGCACCTGGTAATCCCAGCTTCTAGGGAGGCCAAGGAAGGAGAATCGCATGAACCCAGGAGGCAGAGGTTGCAGTGAGCTGAGATCACACCATTGCACTCCAACCTGGGCAACAGTGCAAGACTCGGTCTCAAAAAAAAAAATGGTTTGTTTTCTTTGTCCTTTATTTTTAGAGACAGCATCTCATTCTGTCTCCCAGGACGGAGTGCAGTGGTGCAGTCATAGCTCACTGCAGCCTTGAACCCCTGGGCTTAAGCAATTCTCCTGCCTCAGCCTCCTGAGTAGTTGGGACTACAGGCATGTACCACCATGCATGGCTAATGTTTTTCTTTTTTAAGAGAAGGAGTCTTGCTGTGTTGCCCAGGCTGGTACTGTTTCTATTTATCTGTGTAAGAGGCTTCAGTTGGCTCACTGTGGGAGGACATACTACACAGGGCCTATCTCAATTTGGAGAAAGTCTTTCTTTCTTCTCCATGTCATCACATGCAGATTTTACTATCTTTTAAAAATATGTCTTACATTCTACTCTGCTGTTGGTGTGGGGCTCCTGATTTACTTAAGAACCTTAGAAATATCTAAGAAGAGGAATTACTTCTTACCCAAACTAATTTTTTAAAAGTTAAGTAGAAATGAATGAAGATAGTTGGAAATCTGTTGGTGCTTGGGCTCTTGTTGTGTTGGTTAAGGGCACTTGTGGAGAGAAAGGTTTAACTCTTCCTCCTAAATACTGTTATGTTAGAACTGAAATGAGTTTCTGAAATAGAACTTATAGGAGAGAAGCTGAAGTGAAAGCCCCAGGGAACTCATCACTCCTTTGGAGGATTTCTCTACCTGAGTTCTGCACTGTCTTGGGTAATTTTATGATATTAGTATATAAAAACTAAGGAGCCAAGCCTGTGGTCTCAGTACTTTGGGAACCCGAGGCGGGTGGATCACGGGGTCAACAGATCGAGACCATCCTGGTCAATATAGTGAAACCCCGTCTCTACTAAAAATACAAAAAAATTAGCTGGGCATAGTGGCACATGCCTGTAATCCCAGCTACTCGGGAGGCTGAGGCAGGAGAATTGCCTGAACCCAGGAGGCGGAGGTTGTGGTGAGCCGAAATCGCGCCATTGCACTCCAGCCGGGGTAACAAGAGCGAAACTCCATCACACACACACACAAAAACTAAGGAGGGAGGTGGTTTTCCTCAGATAGTTTGCCCTCTCTGTGTGTGCTTCTCCCGAGTGATCTCCTATAGCACATCTTCCTTTCATATGCAAACATACCATGCCACCGTCTGTGGCACACTGGGTAATTGGTGTGCATCGCTCTGATGCTCACACCATCCCCAACAGTTGCAGGTGGCTTTGTTCACACTTGCCCCGAGAGAAACGCTGAGTTTCAAAACAAGTGGCCTGCCTAGGCCACACTCACCAGTGCAGAGGCTGGCTCCACACCAGTGGCTCTCTGGCTCCAAAGCTTCCAGCCCTTCCCCTACAGCACGCTCCCAGTTCAGGACCCCATTTGAGTTAAAACCTGGCCATGCTTCTTCTTTATACTTTTTGGCCTTAGGTAATGATTATAAGATAATAAATTACTATTTCTCATGGCCATATGAGAAGGTGCATTTCCTGGGTTCCTTCTTCTCAACCCACAAGCCCACTCTTCCTTTCTTCCCAGGGAGTTTGGTTACTCACACCCCACTAGTTCACTACTCATCAGCCCCTCCCCTGAGGTCATGGGATCCAGTGTAGAAGCTGTGTATGAATTAGCATGACAAACAATGTAGTTCCACATATGATCTGCACCGAATTGGGGCAACTTGGTTCTACCGTTGTCTCCATTCAAACAGGATGCACCCCCTAACTCGGCTCCCGTTCTTGCAAGAGACAGTGTATTTATTTCAGGAGTCTCTTCTCCAGCTAACTCTGACTATGCATGGCTTGGCTTGGCTTGCAGTCCCATCACAAAGTCCCTCATATTAGCTCACCCAGAATCCCTGAGAGTATTGAACAATGAGTGCATTCCATAAAAAAGATGTTATTTCCCAAGCACAGAGTAAATCACTCTACAAGCCTGCAGGAAGGAGACCGTGGACTGGGGCTCTAGCAGGAATCACAGGTCTGTACAGAAGTCGGGGGAAAGCTTGGCGGTGGCCAGGGATGCCATTCGACTTCATGATGCCAAGGTGTGTTGCCTGTGAGACTTCAAAACCCATGGCATCATCTGCCCTGCACTTCAGTGGAAGTTTTGGAAATCTCTCCCACAGCCCTGCGCATCCTGATGTAATGATGGTGCGCTTTGTTTTCATAAAGTCACGGTTATATAAACAAAAATAAAGGTTCAAAGTGTCACCTCCGCTTCCTCATAATTTCATAAGAGGGAAGCTGCTTCTACATGCTCTGCCACTGTGCTGGGATTTTGAAGGCATTTTCTCCAATGTTGTCAGTAACTCTGTGAAGAAGCATTGGGATATCCATGTTGATGTGATTTGAATGCTTGTCCCTTCTAAATCTCATGGTGAAACATAATCCCCCATCTTGGAGGTGGGGCTTGATGGGAGGTGTTCGGGTCATGGGGGAATATCCCTCGTGGAGTGCCTGCCCCGTGGTAATCAGCTCTTGCTAGAGTTGGTGGTTTAAAGAGCTGGGCAGCTGTCTTGCTTCTCTCCTTCACCAGGGGATACACTGGCTACCCCTTTGCCGTCCACTGTGATTGGAAACTTCCTAAGTCCTCACCAGGAGCAAATGCTAGTACCATGCTTCTTGTACAACCTGCAGAACCATAAGTCAAAATAGCCTCTTTTCTTTGCAAATTACCCAGCCTCAGTTATTTCTTTATAGCAATACAAATGGACTAACACACATTTTTTGGAAGAAAGTTCTGAGGCTCAAGGTTACAAGACTTGCTTGGGCGGTACCTAGAAAGTGGCATGCCTGATATCTGAATACAGCACTTTCTGACTCCTAAGCCTTTCTTTCTGCCACTGGAATATTTACTTTTGTGAGTAATCAGTTTGGGAACATACAATGACTGGAGTCTGGTTTGGCATTAACGTTGCATTTTTTTTTTTTCTTTTTTAAAGATGGGGTTTCACCATGATGGCCAGGATGGTCTTGAACTCCTGACCTCAGGTGATCCACCCACCTTGGCCTCCCAAAGTGCTAGGATTACAGGCGTGAGCCACCGCGCCCGGCCTAACGCTGCATTTTCAAAGCAAGGGTAGAATGCATTCAGGGCTTGCCTTGCAGATTTACTTCTGCACTTTTGCTTTTGTTTTTTCTGGTCAGGACTTTTCTGACAGAATATTGTCGGAGCCTCGCCCTGCTCCTGGAAGATTGAATGTTGAAGTGTGATGATTAGGTGCATTCTTTTTTTTCTTATTGAAGAAGGTCAGTGTCAGGAGTAATTCCTTTTTTTGCACAAAATGACAGTTCTTATTAAGAGACAATACGTCTACTGAAAAGTCTGAGCTGAGCAGCTTATCTGTGCTGGGACTCTATTTTGTCATTCTGAGGTTTGTGAAATGTCCTAAAAGGTTCTTACTGGAATTACTGGGTCAGGTAGCTGAAGCAAACTGATCCTACTTTAAGTTGTAGGATGGTTGTTTGAGAAATGTGAAAGGCTTAAAGGTGTCCATTACTCCAGATTTATATAAAAATCACTTTCCAAGCTGATGGATCCCAAGATGACTTCAGGATACAGTCCTGTCTCAGTTACAACTTTGGGGATCGAATTTTGTATCTGTGTCATAGGTCTGCATAAATTCTTGGGCCAAAGAAAGAAGAGGATGGAGTGTGAATGATGACAGGGAGCTGTAGGTACTGATGCCTGAAACTTACTGTGACAAGCACCCTCCATCCCTGAAAAAAAAAAGATGGATTTATGGATTAATAGAGGAATGGGAGAATAGGTCAATCCTAATTTCAAAAACCTGTTAATCGTAGAAACTAAATGGTGGGTATTTGGATATTCACTGTAAGGTTCTTCCAACTCTTCTGTAAGTTTTGAAATTTTCCATAATACTATGTAAGAAGGAATAAAAAGAAATGTATTGGGCCGAGCGCAGTGGCTCACGTCTGTAATCCCAGCACTTTGGGAGGCGGAGGCGGGTGGATCACAAGATCAAGAGATCGAGACCATCCTGGTCAACATGGTGAAACCCCGTCTCTACTAAAAATACAAAAAATTAGCCTGGCTGCCTGTAATCCCAGCTACTCAGGAGGCTGAGGCAGGAGAATTGCCTGAACCCAGGAGGCGGAGGTTGTGGTGAGCCGAGATCGCGCCATTGCACTCCAGCCTGGGTAACAAGAGCGAAACTCTGTCTCAAAAAAAAAAAAAAGAAAGAAAGAAATGTATTAACTCTTAGTCGTAGAGATGTGGTTAGTTCCAGCCAATGTATTTGTTGTGAAGATGTGAGCAAGTGATACAGCAGAAACTTCTGCTCCTGATTAGGTAGTGTTGGGTTTATTTGTTTGTTTTAAACTGGTGAACACCCGTAGGTGCTAATGAAGAATCTGAAAGTGGCAGGTATAATAGAATGAAACATTTGCTATTCTGGAACAGTGGTAATATCTTTGTTAATATTGACACGAACAACTATAATCTGCTGCCCCTGTTAGATGTGAAGCCCTAGACCTGTGACTTTTATCACGTCATTAATTTATTTCTAATAACAGCGCTAGAGATTCAGGTCCCATGCTAAATGTCCAGGAACCATTAGCTCTACTTTACACAGAGGAAAGACTGAGCTCAGAGAGGTCAAAGGCATGCTCCTCAGGGTCACAGGTCTAGTTAAGGCTGGTGTCAGAATTCAGGCCTGACATGATGGACATCAAAGTCTATGCAATTTCCACTCGACCCTCGAGGATCAATGTGTGGTTCTGGACAGCAACCTCAGCCTCATGAGGAGCTGCTTGGAAATGCGGGACATCAGGCCTCATCCCAAAACTACAGAACCAGAACGTGCATTTTAACAAAACCCCTGGCTGTCTCTGTGCACATCAGTCTGAGCAGTGCTACACTGGACCGTGGTCCTCTGGAAATTTGGGACCGTGTCTTTATTTTTCTCTCCATGTAATGCAGGACACCATAGGGTCTGTGAAAACCGCATTTATTTTGTTCCAGAGGGGAAGCTGCAGTACTGAGCCTTATTAGCTTCCTTTCCAGCAGTATCAGAGTGAAGGCAGTGAATCAAAGCCCCTATTCCCATCACAGGACTCAGACGCCTGAGTCTGTCCCAGCCTGCCTCTGGTCATCCGTGTGATGCTGTACTTAGAGCTCCCCATCAGTGTGTGACTCTGTTTCTTCAACTACCAACTGGGTGAATCAATTCTGGCTCCACCTGCCTCACAAAAAGGCCCAAGGTGCCTTTAAAAGACAAGAAACAGCTGGGCATGGTGGCACATGACTATAGTTCCAGCTACTCAGGAGACCAAGGCAGGAGAATCACTAGAGCCCAGGAGCTCGAGGCTGCAGTGAGCCATGATCCTGCCACTGTGCTCCAGCCTAGGCAACAGAGCGAGACCAGGTTTCTAAAAACAAACAAAAAGGAACAGAAAGAAGCACTCTTATCATGGCGACAGTATACTAATCCTTCACTCCTGTGAGTGTCTCCGCAGCTCTTTCACTTGTGCTGTCTGAGGTTTCTATGGCTGAGGTGACTGCTGGGCCAAGGTTTCATGGTTCACAGTTCCAGCAGTGTCCTTGCTGGGGCCCTCCCTGCATTCCATCTGAGAAGAGGAGCTTCTCCAAGAGAGGAGGACTCGATATCAGACAAATATGTACAAAAACACATTGGTCTTACCCAACCTCACACCCTCCCTGCCTGCACGACAAGGTCTAAAATTTAATGATGAAGACCATACATTGAACTATTCCTGTGAAGCATTGTATCTACCCCTCTACCCACACACTATCTCCTTTAATCCTTGCAACTGTCTCAAAAGATAGACATTTGCCCCCATTTTACAGATAAGGAAAACTGAGTCCTAAAGAACTGACATGGTAGAATTGAGATGCACTTAACTATTGGGGTTAGAAAGGTGTTGCCTTTAATCACATGTAATTTCCCAGAAAACTGTCCCATAACAATTGCAAAACCTCCCCCAAATTTTCACTGTTTGAAACAACTTTATTTTTTTCTCCTGCTGATTGCCTAGGACTCCAGGAAGAGCAAAGGTGACAGGTCACTCATGACTGAAATTAGCTTGTGAATTTTTGCTCTAAGCTAAGGAACAAGCATTGTGGTACATAACACATTGTACATGTCTTTTGTGTTTTCTGTCACATGAATTGAAGAAGAATGAAAATCAGGGTACCATTTGGAAAAGCATTTTAAGGAAATTCAAAGTATGCTCTCTTCTGCAGTATGTTTTCAGCAAAGAAATTGTCTTATTTTGATTTGTTAAAATATTTTTGATAGGTTGTCAAATTATCATAGTTCTGTTTTACATTTTAGTGTTTGAAAAAGATATGCTTTACTTGGCTAACTTTCTGATAATAAACAAACCCGTTTCCCATCTTTACACCTCCATGTGTTCTTTTTGAACAGATGCTTTTTGTGTGCCAGCTCTCACATCTGGGCTTCTCACTCACTGACATCCAGGAAAGGGATCTGCAGAGTTTCCAAGAGCCCGCCCCTTGTCGTTAATCACAGGTAGCAGTGGGAGTCTTCCCCGTACCTAGAATCAGTGTCAGTCTTGGACAAATGGTGACTGGAAGTTTGGCTTGATATTCTGCCCCATTCCTCCTTCCCATTTACACACAGGGTTCTGTGCACATGTGGATACAGAAAGTAAGCCCAGAGATGGGTCAGGGAACACAGGGATTTGGGAAGCATTGGAGAAGCCGGATTAGGAACACTGGTTCAGGGCTCAGACCTGGATGTTTGTCCCTGCATCTACCACTTGCGTAGATGTATGAGCATAGGCCTGCTTGTGCAGGCTTCAGTTTCCCTTACCTATTAAATAGGGGCAGTGATATATTCTACAACTATGACTCGATATCTGGACTTCAAAAATACCTGTGGTCAAAAACACGTTATTCTGAGGATTTTTAAGTACTGAATAAATAATATTACTACTATTAATATTTAACAAAAATTGCGAATGAGTGAGTTGGATGCAAGTAAACATAGATATCTGGTCTTCCAGGACATGGAATACTTAGAAATATCTGCAATGCAAAATGGCCATTCTCAAGTAAAGGGTAGAGAGTGCATCACAATAGCAGCTCATAGGAGAGGCAAAACCTATAGCTCACTGCTGGGATGACCAGGGAAGGCTATGTGTTGAGCTTTCTAGACCTTGAGTACTAGTATTTTCTGAGCATTAAGGTAAGTAGTGAGAGCGTCTCAGTCAGAGAGAAGGGATTTGACTTTCAGAGATGAAAAAGCTCAAAACGTAGGCAAAGAACCAGTAGTAGGTGCAGTAAGTCGTCAGGGCTCCCCTGTCAGAAATGCCTTTGAGACTGGCCGGTTACCCACGCAGTTAACAGGATGACCAGGACCTGGCTCCAGCCAGTCACTTGCAGGCTCTGTATTGGCATATGTTTCAATTATTCAGGAGATACAAGAAATCTGGACTTAGACATACTAAGTCTCATTTGGTAAAACATGATGATGGTCAAATCCAACATGTCTCTGGTTGACTCAGATTATGTGTGGTGAGTGTGTGACCACTGGGATCGTGATGGGTGGAAAGGAGCCCTGGCCTGGGATCCAGGAGGCCCAGGATTAATCCAAGCTCTGTGTCCTTGGACAGGCTTCTCACATCCTCTGTGCATCAGTTTCCAGAAGGCACCTTGATAGGAGTTGTGGTTTACTAGAGCCCAACCAAGCCTTGTTATTATTATTTTTTTTTTTTTTGTAGACTAAATGTAATCCTTGGGTTTTCAGGGTCTGAATTATACTACGGACCCCTGCTCTTGTTCCTCCCCCTGCCCCACTGTATTTGTTTTATTGTTATGTTTCCTGTTCTTACATTTTGTAAAGGGGCCATTATCTAGGGATGAAAATGGATAAAATTTGTGTACATAAATTAGCATACGGAGACTTTGAGATGGAAACGTGCCAACCTTTTCCAAAGAGAAGGCCAGATAACAGGCTGCAAGATTGAGCAGCTTTCCTGAGAACAGTAGAGGAAACAATTTCCCTCAGTGCTTACCACAGAAAGGAAGGTAAAGGAACTGGAGGATGGATAAAAGTATCCAAAAAGCATGAAAGATGAATCGATGGGAAACGCTGGTGCGACCACTCAAGGGGTCATGGGTGGAAAAAGTCATTCCATTAAAAAAAATAAACAGTGGAAAAAGAATGGAGCCATAGTCATGGGAAAAAGTGAGATCACATTTAAAAACTTTCGAGATTGGCCTGGAAAAATAAGGCTTTATGAGTTTAACATGAGGACTCTATTCTTACCACCTGTGGAGAGTAATTGGCACTGGCCGACCAGAGGTTTGTTTTGCCTTCTTGGCAGGAGCTGAATTGTTATGTTAATAGTCCGCTGGCTAAGTGTTAAGTACTGCGTTTGAATGGAAGGAGTTTTGCAGAGGAGAAAATTCCCACCCCAGGTTCCTATTCCGACCACTGAGTGCTTTACGGATTTCAGACTTCACACACTCAAATTCTAAGAAACAATTAGTATCATGGCTGATATTTCTAGCATTTTATGAGAACGAACAGTTTCTACTGGGAACTCTCCTGTAGGTGGTTTACGGCCAGAGCGTATCCAGGCTCAGGTTTGGCCCCAAGAGCCCATTTGGAGCTAAAGAACAAATTTCATCACAGCAGCATTGCCTACCTTTTCGTACTTGTCTGTGCCAGCTCTTTTCCATTCACATTGGCTTCTCCTTAGAGGTCATTCCACTGATTTGGCTCTTAAAATATTTTAATTGTCCTTCAACAAGGTGAGCCCCCAAACCTCAGGGCACTCAGGATGAAATAGCTTAGTAGTCGATGCATTATTAAAATGAACTTTTCCAGATTTAAGAATTATCAAGTCATCTGCTGGATGATTGGTTTGTCTTTTTTAGGAGGCGGCATCTCTCTGCAGTCCTAAAACCGCTTTTAAAATGATCTTTCATGTGACCTTTTGACTCTAGATTGCTGATTGCTGGTAAAAACTAAAGATTGACCTAATTTACAGTAATTTGTGATTGACTTATGACCCCTTAAAAGTCTCACATCGTTAGGGTTGCAGAAATAGATTGCTTCTTAATTGCAAATGAGCTCGTAGCTGCAAATGACTTCACACCTCTTCCTGCAACTCACCTTCCTCCCACCTTCCTCGGGTGGTTGACTTGCTTCACAACATCTTACCTCACTTACGCTCGTGTGCACAGATTTCCAAAAGGTGTGATACTGTGACTTTTTTTCTTTTCTTTCTTTCTTTTTTTTTTTTTTTTTTTTTTTGAGACGGAGTTTCACTCTTGTTACCCAGCCTGGAGTGCAATGGTGCGATCTCGGCTCACCGCAACCTCCGCCTCCTGGGTTCAGGCAATTCTCCTGCCTCAGCCTCCTGAGTAGCTGGGACTACAGGCACGCACCACCATGCCCAGCTAATTTTTTTTGTATTTTTAGTAGAGACGGGGTTTCGCCATGTTGACCAGGATGGCCTCCATCTCTTGACCTCGTGATCCACCCGCCTCGGCCTCCCAAAGTGCTGGGATTACAGGCGTGAGCCACCGCGCCCGGCCGACTTTTTTTCATGTTGTCTTTTATGGCAGTGACAAAGGAATTTGGTTGAAATTAAGCCCCTGTGGTAACCACAAGGCTTAGAAGTCTAATAAAGAAAACCCATGTAAATTATATGGAAGCTCGTGAACTAGAGATTCTAATTGAGCCATTTACTTCCCCAGAAGCAAATTAGGGAACTAGAGCTATTAAAATCCGTTAGGTCTCTAAGACATCATTTGGGCAATTACTTCCAATTCCAGAAAATTTTCTGAGCTCCATTTCTGCATACTACATAATACCCAAGTAGTATTTAATTCAGAGATTTCTAAACTGTGCTTCCATCAAACATAGATTAACATGGACTAAGATTTAACACTGTTGGAACTGAACAATGACGAATTTCTTCCTTTCAAAAGATGTTCTCACTTTTACATTTAATTGCCTGTACCTTACTTTACAAAATAGCACTTCAGTATAGACAACAAAATGCTAGTTGAGGTCAGTCCTCTCCCAACAGGTAGTTAGTTAACATTTGAAGTATCGTCTTCAGAAATGTACATTTCAGGAGAGGTTACTTGGCCTGTTACATTTCCTAACTGGAGACCCCACCGCAGACACGTTCAAAGGCAAAGCTTTGGACGAAGACTGAGCGGTTGTGTCCGCGTTGCCAACCTCGAGCAGCAGTGGCTTCTCCACGTGGAACCCGGGAGTAGGAGACTCAGAATCGAATCTCTTCTCCCTCCTCCCGCCTGTTTTTGGCTTTCTGAGAAGCCTTATCCTCAGACACAATGGCCAGCAACGTTACCAACAAGACACATCCTCGCTCCATGAACTCCCGTGTGTTCATTGGGAATCTCAGCACTCTCGTGGTCAGGAAATCTGATGTGGAGGCAATCTTTTCAAAGTATGGCAAAATTGTGGGCTGCTCTGTTCATAAGGGCTTTGCCTTCGTTCAATATGTTAATGAGAAAAATGCCCGGGCTGCTGTGGCAGGAAAGGATGGCAGAATGATTGCCGGCCAGGTTTTAGATATTAACCTGGCTGCAGAGCCGGAAGTGAACCGAGAAAAGCAGGTGTGAAACCATCTGCAGCGGAGATGTACGGCTCCTCTTTTGACTTGGACTATGACTTTCAACGGGATTATTATGATAGGATGTACAGTTACCCAGCCCGTGTACCTACTCCTCCTCCTATTGCTCAGGCTGTAGTGCCCTCGAAACCTCAGCGCATGTATCAGGAAACACCTCACCAAGGGGCAAAAGTGGCTTCAATTCTAAGAGTGGGCAGTGGGGATCTTCCAAGTCTGGAAAGTTGAAAGGAGATGACCTTCAGGCCATTAAGAAGGAACTGACTCAGATAAAACAAAAAGTGGATTCTCTCCTGGAAAACATTGAAAAGGAACAGAGCAAACAAGCAGCAGAGATGAAGAATGATAAGTAAGAAGAGGAGCAGAGCAGCAGCTCCGTGAAGAAAGATGAGACTCATGTGAAGATGGAGTCTGAGAGGGCTGCAGATGACCCTGCTGAGGAGGGGGACCTACTGGATGATGATGATAATGAAGATGGGGGATGACCAGCTGGAGTAGATCAAGGATGATGAAAAAGAGGCTGAGGAAGGAGAGGATGACTCTTAAGCACATAGTGGGGTTTAGAAATCTTACCCCATTATTTCTTTACCTAGGCGCTTGTCTAAGATCAAATTTTTCACCAGATCCTCTCCCCTAGTATCTGCAGCACATGCTCACTGTTCTCCCCATCCTTGTCCCTCCCACCTCCATTAATTCATATTTCCCTGCACCTAGTCCCATTTTCACTTCCTTTGACCCTCCTAGTAGTTTTGTTAAGTCTTACCCTGTAATTTTTGCTTTTAATTTTGATACCTCTTTATGACTTAACAATTAAAAGGATGTATGGTTTGTTTTTTTTTTTTAAAAGCAAAGCTTTACATCACTATACTTGCCCCAGAAGTTTAATAATTAGCATAAATCGTGAATTAGAGAACTTTTTATTAATTAAGGAAATGGTAATGTTCAAGAAATATGTTAGGATAATAAGATCAGTATTGGCTCTTCTACCCTTTTGTGAGTGGGCATGTACCAGAGTTTGACCAGTCAGAGAAACCATTCTAGATACTTCCAGCAGGAAGGGATGTAGCCCAGGGATTTAATGTTCTGTAGACCTACTATTAGGTCTGAGAAAGTGAAGGTCAGAGAAGCTGCTTTGGAGAATTCAGGAAATTGGGGAGTGCTGGGATCAAAAGAAGCTACAGCTGATAATCTACCCTTAGTGAGTGATGAAGAGGGGGACACGTGGAAATCACTCCCAAAATCTCACTGTCTACTGTCTGCAGAGAGGCTTGTCCCCGGCTGCAGATGTGAATGTGGAGTAACAGTTTATCCCTTCTAACTTTTATATTCCACATGAGAGCTTATTATTGACAGTATGACCCAGAAAGTCTACTAGTTTATGGAATATGGTTTCCTGGCCTCCAGGCCTACCTAAAAGGAAGAATTTTAAAGAGGGATGGTTTTCATTGTTAACAAGCACTGTCAGACTTAAGGCCTAAGGATCCGACGAGTCCAGCATTCTTTTAAAGTGTGTCTTATATCTAGTACAGCCATCCCTCAGTAGAACTACAGTTAGAAAAATGGTCTAATTTACACTGTCCAATATGGTAGCCACTAGTGCCACATGGCTATTGAGCACTTGAAATGTAGTTGGTGCATGTTATAGTGAACCCCAAGTTTCTCTTCAAAGAATCACTGTGTCAGTATGTTCAGCTCTCTTATTCTTTAATTCTCTATTTTAAAGTTTAACATCCTTGTAATTCCAGTAAACAACCTTCTCCACCGGTTTAATTAGTAGTTCACCTCTGTTCTCCCAGCCCCCAGCTCTATCCTGACTCATCCTGGTCACCTGCTCCAGTCACCTGCTCCGGTCACCTTCTTTGACCTAGGTCACCTCTAGCTACCTTCTCTGACCCACCCGTAACCATCCTTCCCACCAAAACACCCTCCTTGCCACTCCAGCTTGGACCCCTGCTCTCTTTGAAATAGCCAATCAGGATCAGCCTAGCTTGTGTGGTCTAACCCTAGGCAATAGGGAAACAACAAACACAGCAGTAGGGACGACCCCCGTCAGGCATAATTGCCCCTTCCCCCCTTGTCCAGGTGTGTGGCCACCATTGCTCCATCCATTAGCCACACTCTTCTATGGAAGTAAATTGCCTTGCTGAGAGGATTTATTTTCGAGTGCTATTTCTTCTGTGGCACCGAAATTTTACTTCTAACAGTGCAACTGAGGGATTGAATTTTTGAGTTGTATTTAATCTTACTTACTTAAGTTTAAATTTAAAGGGCTACCTGTGGCTATTGGCTACCGCCTGGGGCAGTGCAGGTTTAGATCTCTCTTTGGACTTGTGCTCCCTCTCCATTTCCATTTAATTGACAATACTGTGGCCTGATCTGACCTAAAGTCTCCCTAAGCTGTCTCATATTTGTTTATTGGGTGTTGAAAATTTCATGTGAGGACCTTGTTAGAATGACTATATATGATGGAGTTGTGTTGGGGGTGGGGGCAGGCCACTGGATTTCACTGCACTTACCAAATTGATCTTCTGACTCTTTTTAGTGCCAGCTTACTAATAAACATTGGTTGTGTGTTTGGCCGAATTTGGTCTGAAACTCCCTTTTGCCATAACATATGATGACAGCAAGTGAGTGGGGAGGCCACTGAAGTGTTTGCTATATATCCTAATAATTCTGATAGCCAATTAGCCCGATCGTATGGTTTGTAACATGTTTTTCTCCCAGAAATGTTTCTCAAATTTTTGGAGTCTGCAGTATCTTTCCTGCTAGCAAATACTGGCGGACAACAAAATGAAAACTACACAAATATTAACAGAAAAATTCAGATAAGCTAGTTGCCCACCACTGAACAACTTTTTAAAAACATGAGCATATGTTCATGGTCTATTTTAAAAATTCATACATATATCACAAATTTTCTGTGTTTAAAATTGTTCCTAGTTTGTATGGTCGAATCTACATTTCAAAGTAATGTGGCTGGGCATGGTGGCTCACACCTGAAATCACAGCACTTAGGGAGGCCAAGGCAGACAGATCATGAGGTCAGGAGTTCAAGAACAGCTGGACAAACATGGTGAAACCCCATCTCTACTAAAACTATAAATATCAGCTGGGTGTGGTGGCACGTGCCTATAATCCCAGCTACTCAGAAGGCTGGGGCAGGAGAATCTCTTGAACCCAGGAGGTGGAGGTTGCAGTGAGCTGAGATCACATCACTTCACTGCAGCCTGAGCAACAGAGCAAGACTCAGTCTCAAAAACAAACAAAGGTCAAAACAACGGAGTATAACCCGGCCTAGGTTTGGCTGCTTGCTGGTAGAAAGCCAGACAGAAGACAAGAGGCAAAGTTGGGTGGGAGGAAAGCAGGTTTAATTGGAGGACCAGCAACCTGAGAAGATGGTAAACTATTGTTCTAAATACCATCTTACATTTTAAAATTTGCCATAGGGCTTTTACAAGGAAACTTGGTATGGGAGACATTCAGGAGTAGTGCAAGGTACACGGTCTGTGTATTTTGTTCTTGTTAAATTGAACTAAACATGGCCAGAGAAAACCTCCGTACTTCCATACTGGAGTCCTTGAGAATGAACCATAAGCTAACTTAGTAGGTAGACAAGTAGGGCCTTAGTAGAAAACCTAATTTAGGAGTATGCTTCTGTAACAAAGCTGGATCTCAGCCAATCCCAGCAGCCATACTTCAGCAACTCATATGCTGCTGACTGTTCAAACCGTGTTCAGATAAGTCAAATGCCAAGCTGTAACCCATCCAGCTGTTTCTGTACCTTACTTCTGTTTTCTGTACGTCACTTTCCTTTTTCTTTTTTTTTGCCTATAAATTTGCTCTGGCTATAAGGTTTCCCTGGAGTCTGTCTGAATCTGCTGTGATTCTAGAGGCTGCCTGATTTGTGATTTTTTTTTTTATAAACTCTGCTAAATTTAATTTGTCTCAAGTTTTATTTTAACATTTTGATGGCCATCTTGGATAACTGCCTGTCCAGAAGTCTGATTGGCATTATCTTGTCTTCGATGGTGGTGGACTAATGGGGGACTCTCCCTAAGTGAGAGGATTCCACAATGGGGCTGCAGCCTGGTTTGTTTCAAGAGCAAGAACATAATTAGATAAGTGTACAATGTTGGAGGGGAGTGTCTAGAGAGGGAAGAAATAAAGGGGTGAGAGGGGAGAGAAGGAAGAAAAAGACAGTGGGTGATTTTTAAAACTAAGGTCCCTGGTTATAGTATCATTAAAACAGCCCAGAATTCCACAAAAGACCCTGGCTGCCAAATGTTCTGCCCCTTGGAGAGCCCCTGGCCTAAGTGTTCCATATGTAAGTGCCTTTCTATTTAGTGTCCCAAAGTGACTAACATAAGACTGGGCCAAACTAGGTGTTTTCATGACTTCATGGCACATATTTTTTATCCCTAATGAAAAGAATGTCAGCAAATAAAACTGTTTTTCATTTATTTGTCTATCAGGTAAAGAGGAAACTACCAATGAGTTAAATCAGAAGTCCCAGCCTTTTTTGCACCAGAGACCAGATTCATGGAAGACAGTTTTTCCATGGACTTGGGTGGAGAGGGATGGTTTCAGGATGGTTCAAGCACATTACATTTAGTGTGTACATTATTTCTGTTATTATTACATTGTGACATGTAATGAGATAATTATATGACTCACCATAATGTAGACTCAGTGGGAGCCCTGGGCCTGTTTTCCTGCAACTAGACCATCCCATCTGAGAGTGACAGGAGACAGTGACAGATTACCAGGCATTAGATTCTCATAAGGCGCGAGCAACCCAGATCCCTTGCATGCATGGTTCACGGTAGGGTTCATGCTCCTATAAGAATCTAATCCTAGGTCAGGCGTGGTGGCTCACACCTGTCATCTCAGCACTTTGAGAGACTGAGGCGGGTGGATCATCTGTGGTCAGGAGTTTGAGATCAGCCTGGCCAACATGGTGAGTCCATTCACGGGAACCTGTAATCCCAGCTACTCAGGTAGCAGAGGTAGGAGAATCATTTGAACCTGGGAGGCAGAGGTTGCAGTGGGCTGAGATTGCACCACTGCACTCCAGCCTGGGTGATGGAGCAAGACTCCATCTCGAACTAAAAAGAAAAGAATCTAATTCCACCACTGATCTGACAGGAGGCGGAGCTCAGGTGGTAATGTGAGCAATGAGGAGCAGCTGTAAATACAGATGAAGCTTCACTTGCTTGCCTGCTACTCACCTCCAGCTCTGTGGCCCAGTTCCTAGCAGACCACAGACCTTTACTGGTTCATGGCTCAGGGTTGGGGCCCCTGGCTTAAATGTTAGTATTTTTCATTTTCTTACACTTAAATACTTGTTATCCAAATGCCTTTCTGCATTTGTCATCCTTTTAAGAAAATTGCTTGGCCGGGCGTGGTGACTCAAGCCTGTAATCCCAGCACTTTGGGAGGCCGAGGTGGGTGGATCACGAGGTCAAGAGATCGAGACCATCCTGGTCAACATGCTGAAACCCGTCTCTACTAAAAATACAAAAAATTAGCTGGGCATGGTGGCGTGTGCCTGTAATCCCAGCTACTCAGGAGGCTGAGGCAGGAGAATTGCTTGAACCCGGGAGGTGGAGGTTGCGGTGAGCCGAGATCGCACCATTGCACTCCAGCCTGGGTAACAAGAGCGAAACTCTATCTCAAAAAAAAAAAAAAAATTGCTCACAAGATCTTATCAGAAAGTGGTGCTACCTATAAATTTAAGACATGAGAATCATGGAGAAGATAACTCATTGTTTATTAAACATTCATGGAATTCAGTTTGCATTCTCATTGATAATTTCTTTACTTGATGGTGCCTAAAACTAGTTTGAGGTTGTCTTTGGAGTCCTGTATATTCTATCCTGAGGAAAAAAGCCCAAGGAACTCGGCCACTAGGACATTTGCCTCGTCAGCAAAAACTTGTATAACTGCTTTTAGATTATTCTTCAGCTTCGACATAATTCATATTTACGCAGTTGCGTGGAGGACATCCTGGGACTAGTGATTCGCAGTTTGAATGATTCTTTCTAGCACTCACACAAGCAGATGGTCCTCTGCACTGCATATAGAGGGCCCTTCATGTCAATCAAGGGACAGATTGGAGAAAGCATTACCAGGGTAGGAAATGTATCAGGATGGGTGTGGGGTGAGGGAGGCCTTTCCTTAGAGCTTTGCAGGGTGGTTGAAGACAGGGTTGGAAAGCAGCTAGCTCCGCCTTAGATACCTGTGAGGAAACAGATTATTTGTATGGATTACTGCTACTCAATTTATCCACCAGGTGTGATGGGGATGGGGAGGAAAAAGGACAAAAGAAGGCCAGGAAGGGACTTGGCACAGAAATATTGAAGATCTCCTCTCCTAGATACATTGGGGCGCTGCCATCCTCCTCCACATTACCATATTAATGGATTTTCTCACTTAGAGGCTCTCTCATTTAGCGCCTGATAACCCCCTTCCCCCTCATTAGGCTAGTATCTGTTGGTCCTCTGAGTTCAGCACATTTGCAGTACTCACAGGTACCTGTGAGATAACACCTGTGATTGACACAACAAGATCTTACTTTCAGATTAGCCCACAAATTCAAACAGTGAGTGCTTAAATCTCATTTAGCTTCTTGTAAAACCATATTAAGGCTTCGATGCAAACTAAAGACTCACCGATTGAAAGCTGTCAGCTCAGAGATTGCTGCCAGGATAATTTAATTTATATTAAAAGAAAACTGTCACTTTCTTCAGTTTCATCATCAAAACTTTTGGTTTTAACTGCAAGGAGTACTTAGATTACAATAAATGTCTGTCTTCCTGAGTCTTTCTGAGATGTGTGGATGCTGTGATTCTCAACACCGCATATTAATGAGTAGTACAGTTCAGAGGTTTGATCGATGTGCCAAGGCCATTCATGAAACTCTTTACGTTCTTTCTGCCCCTGGCAAAGTTTGACAATGCTGAAACATTCTATTTTGATTCTTAAATAGGAAACAAAAACCTAATTATCAAGAAATCATAGCCTATTAGGAACTTTTGCTTGCTCTTGAAATACTTGTTTGCATGGATTAGTGGTGGAATTGGTTGGCTTTTTACAAGAGCGATTAAAAAAAAAAAAAAAAAGCTTTGGAATTGTATTTCCTAAACAGGATTTGCAAGGCTTTTAATGCTGTAAAAGGCCAAGTTAGACCGAAACTGTGCCGGCGAGATGTTTTTTTCTTTTAAGCAGACTTGAAATTGTTGGAGTCAAACTGACCTTAGATTGCTTAAAAGAGTTGTGGCTGGAGAGTTGTGGCTGGTGCTATCCAAAAAGCAGATGCTATAGTCTTGTTATATTGCTAAATATTGATCCCACCACCTTTATCTAGTGATACAGAGATGCTCTGGTAAAGCCTTCTTGCCTTATCTCTTTGCAGGCTTATTGATTGGTGCTGGCTGTGCCCTCTACCCCTTGGGCTGGGACAGTGAGGAAGTCCGACAGACTTGTGGCTACATTTCTGGCCAGTTTGACCTGGGTAAGCTCTCTTCATGGATGGCATTCCTTTTAGAAAAAGAACCTCATCTGAGGTTTCATAGAAGCAGAAACTGGAAAGACAACAGATGAGAAAAATCTATCTGGATATTACAGCCAACACTCATGTGCAACAATATAAATGTATCCATTTTTTTAGTGAAGAGTTATTGATAATCTACTGTTTGCCCAGTACTATGATGAGTATTGTAGACAGAAAGATAAGAAATGACCCCTGCCCTGAAGAGTTGATACTCATTGATTACCTCATTTTTCAAAATCATGTATTTATTACCCATTTTGTGGGCTAAAAATAATTCTGTAGAATTTGCAGTGTAAGAAGAGGAGGCAACAAAACAGTCAAGGAAATGATGAAAAAAGCTAAGTCATCCAAAGCAGTTTCACGTCAGTGGTCTAATAAAGAGGTGAGAATGGAGTTCAGTCGTGAGCCGAGTGCTGCATGCGGATTATCAGGATTAGATGGAATCTCCTTGCATGTGAGGGATACAGTGCAGCAAAGGCACAAGGAAGGAATGGGAAAAGCTCATCAGGAGACCACAGGGATTCCAGCAACAGGAAGAGTAAGGTGCCACTCTGATCAATGCAATGATTGGGTGAGAGTTTGCACATTGATAAAAGGCTCTTTTTTTTTTTAGGCGAGTCTTGCTCTGTTGCTTAGGCTGGAGAGCTGGAGTGCAATGGTGCAATCTTGGCTCACTGCAACCTGCACCTCCTGGGTTCAAGCAATTCTCCTGCCACAGCCTCCTGTGTAGCTGGGATTACAGGCACACACTACTAAGGCTGGCTGATTTTTGTATTTTGGTAGAGATGGGGTTTCACCATGTTGGTCAAGCTGGTCTGAACTCCTGACCTCGTGATCTGCCTGCCTTGGCCTCCCAAAATGCTAGGATTACAGGTGTGAGTCGCCACACCTGGCCCTGATAAAGGGCTCTTAACTCAAAAATTTGTTTTTTTGCAGACTAATAAGAAAATGTCAGGTAGTTTTCACTTGTAACCACAGTGTGGTGTGTTGCAATATATAAAATATTTTGCAGATTGCTCCATTGTTTGCATCATTTTAATTTGTAATAATTGGGTCATATTTCACTTGCTTGATAAACTTACATTTACTTAACCACGTTCTTATTTCTTTCTAGCTGGGCATTTAGTCTATTCCAGTTTCTGTTGATTTAAGACATGTTATGATGAGTAGTTTAATGAATATATTTTTCCTACTGAATTATTTTCTTAGAATCTTTTTCTAGAATTGGTATCACTAGATCAAAGCCTATGAACCCATAAAACACTTATTGTATAGGAAAAGCAATGTGTTTTATCTTCCACATTGCTAGATTCAAACCTAAGGCTCCTGTAACAAAAGGGAGATTAACAAGAGAAAAGCATACACATTTATTTAAAAGGAAATTTTCATGACAGGGGACCTTTCATGAAGAAATGAAGACTTGGAGAAGCAGGTCAACCTGTATACTTTTTTTTTTTTTTTGAGACGGAGTTTCGCTGTTGTTACCCAGGCTGGAGTGCAATGGCACGATCTCGGCTCACCGCAACCTCCACCTCCTGGGTTCAGGTAATTCTCCTGCCTCCTGAGTAGCTGGGACAACAGGCATGCACCACCATGCCCAGCTAATTTTTTGTATTTTTAGTAGAGATGGGATTTCACCATGTTGACCAGGATGGTCTCAATCTCTTGACCTTGTGATCCACCCACCTCGGCCTCCCAAAGTGCTGGGATTACAGGCGTGAGCTACCGACCTGTACACTTTTAATGCTAGGTTTAATGAAGAAGTGGATTGCTGTGGAGAAGCAGATTGGACAAAGGGTGTGATCTAGTAGTGATAAGCTGCAGAACTTAGCAAGACCCATTTGTTCAGATTCCTCTGTGTGTCCTTGTATTGGAAAATAAGAATATTCTTTTCTTCCGGTTGTAGTGAGAGCGTCTCTCCAATGAAGGTCTTACGACCTGCTTCAGATGAAGGCCAGGTAGTCCTTTCTAGGTTTCATGACAGGTGTTAAGGAGAGAAGGGCAGCAGGGGAAGGGGAGAGAGACTTTCCTGCTTCTGTTGTCTTCTCAAATGCCAAGGTGCTGCATTTTAGGGTCGCACGTCCTGAAGCCCATCATTGCCAATGATACCAAATATATTTTCCTCTACTGTGTGGATGGCCGGACGGAGATTCTGATAATTAGTACGTAGTTACTCCCTTAGACATCTACTTTTTACATTAGTAGGGAATCGGTCTGATGGCAGTATTACTATACTCCAAATATTAATTTTAAATTTTTATGTTAGAACATCTATGAAAACATTCTGAGAGATTCTGAGAAAAAGGGACAGGTATGATACAATAGCAAAGGTCTGTGAATTCGACAATGATGTCATTTTTATTTGAGTTCATGGATGACAGCCGCCCTAGTTCTATCAAAAATAACGCTGGCTCTTCTGGTAGAGAAGACTGCTCTAAAAACCACCTAATTTGCATGGATAAAACAAATAAGAGATTTCCTTTTGCCTATTCTTCCCTCTTTGATGATGGGACTTTCCTAAATCTGGTTTAATTTGGGATTGCCATAAATGGAGAGAAGGGGAAAACAGTGCTGAGATGCTGGCGTGCAAAGCTGACTGCCAGCTTTTTTCTCGTTTTCTTTTTTGGAAAGCAAACCATGTCTAGGGGAGATATTTTAATACAGTGCTTGGCATTTTTCTTTCCCTGGTGTTTGAGGCATTCTTGGCTGTTCAACACAGGCCTCGACTTGATCGTGATCCCGTGTGTGCTGACCTGTCGTTATTACGTATTGCTTTATTAATTAGCAGATTATAATGAAATTCAGGTCCTGTTTTTGCAGTTTTCATTACTGCACCCCAGTATGTTGTATGTCCCAGCATTGTGGAATAAAACTTTGAATGTCAAACTAAACATTGAGAAATATTTGCCTCTTTTTTTTTTTTTTTTTTTTTTTTGAGACAGAGTTTCACTCTTGTTACCCAGGCTGGAGTGCAATGGTGCGATCTCGGCTCACCGCAACCTCCGTCTCCTGGGTTCAGGCAATTCTCCTGCCTCAGCCTCCTGAGTAGCTGGGATTACAGGCACGCACCATCGTGCCCAGCTAATTTTTTGTATTTTTAGTAGAGACGGGGTTTCACCATGTTGACCAGGATGGTCTCGATCTCTTGACCTCATGCTCCACCCGCCTCGGCCTCCCAAAGTGCTGGGATTACAGGCGTGAGCCACCGCGCCCGGCCCAATATATGCCTCTTTACTAGTGGTACTAGTTATACTCTCTAAACCCATTCTGGCAATTTAAAAAAACTATAAAGTCGTTTTCATTTCTGCTCATATGCTTTTAAATTTCCTTAGATTGGTTGATGAGAAAAAAAAACAATTGGCATCATCCACAGATGAAATGAGTTCTAGGTTCACTCACAAGTTTTTTGGGGTTTATCAAGGTCTCTTCTCTATTATGTTTGTGGACTCTTATCTATTCTTTGAATAGAAGACCTAAAGAGAAAATGGCATAGAGATATCTCTAGGCCCATCCCATTTCACTTTCCTTTTTTTTTTTTTTTTGAGACAGAGTCTCGCTCTGGTGCCTAGGCTGTAGTGCAGTGGAGAGATCTAAGCTCACTGCAACCTCTGCCTCCCAGGTTAAGCAATTCTCAAGCCCCAGCCTCCTAGTAGCTGGGATTATAGGCACCCACCACCACGCCTAGCTAATTATTGTATTTTTTGTAGAGATGGGGTTTCACCATGTTGGCCACGCTGGTCTCCAGTCTCTGACCTCAAGTGATCTGCCCATCTCAGCCTCCCAAAGTGCTGAGATTATGGGCATGAGCCACCCCATCTGCCCATCCCACTTTACTTTCTATGCTTTCTACCTTTTAAAAATCATTAAAAAGCTCAACTAATGAAAGTTGAGCTTCAGTGAATTAGTGAAGTCACAAATTATGAAGTTAAAATGGGAGGGTACCTGGAACAACTGTAGCTGGTGAGCTGCAGTGTGAAGTCATGAGTGAGCATTCTTGGGTAAGATGGCAGGCTGGGCACAGTAGCTCATACATATAATCCCAGCACTTTGGAAGGCCAAGGAGGGTGGATCACCTGAGGTCAGAAGCTCGAGACCAACCTGGCCAACATGGTGAAACCCCATCTCTACTAAAACTACAAAAATCATCTGGGTGTGGTGGTACTCGCCCATAATCCCAGCTACTCGGGAGACCAAGGCAGGAGAATCAGCTTGAACCGGGAGGTGAAGTTTTTGGGGAGCCAAGATCACACCACTGCACTCCAGCCTGGGCAACAGAGTAAGATTCCATCTCTAAAAAAAAAAAAAAAAAAAAGACTCCAGCAAACATGCTGCTTGTCTCTGCCCAACCCTGCCCCTCTGATTCTAAGAATCCAAGTTTGTTTCCGCCTCTTAAAGGAGACAGATCTTCCTCCCAAGGGTCGTGAAATGTTGCTGTTATTAAAGCTCATGCCCTTCTTATTGGGAATACGTGTTTCTTTTTTGGCATGCTGTTTTTGATATGTTGTTACTCTCCAATCTGGAGCATCCTGAAAGAAATAATTGCCTTTGCTCCTACATAGAAGAGTATTTAAGTAGTGCATTTATCTCAATTAGTCAGCCAACAAATATGTGTGGAGTGCTTATAATGTGCCAACCCACGGCCTAGGTGCTGGGGATGTGGCATCAGCAATGAATAAAAAATGACACTATTCACTGCCCTGAGGGAACTTAAAATTAGCAAGGGAAGCAGATGTTCAAAAGATAATATACACGTGAAGTATGTTAGAAAGGAAAAGTTTTGGGTGCCATATGGAAATTGTGGTTGACTTGCCGACATTATTCTACACTAGCTGGTGCGTGTGAGCCAGAGGTTGGCCAACACTTCTATAAAGGATCTGATAATATCTTCAGTTTTGTAAGGTATATGGTCTCTGTTGCAGCTATTTAACGCTGCAGAAAAGATAGATGGTCCCAATAGAATT